ATATAACTTTAGGCCAGAAGGAGGTAATAAGAAGTTGCTGCAAGAATATGTCTTAGAATAGGCAAAGATCTTGAAATACCATACGCATGAGTTGATTAAAACTGATAACATAACTTATGAATGTCCGTTCAACGAGATTATTAACTCTTTATCATATTTTTTCAGTGGTACGCGGTTTGAAGATGGTTTAGAACAGAGGATAATGCTAAATAAATATTAAGATATTTGAATGGAACGAAAACCTATAAACTCCAAGAGGAGGGGCAATTGAGGCGGGGCAATCTCAACTTAACATAAAAATTTACACTGACGGGAGTTCTGCCTCTGAAAATGCCATGAAAAAGCAGAATGGGTATAGTTATAGTAATTAATTTAATAACTGCCCTATCTTATGAGAAGTAAAGAGATGTAAAGTTACAGTCCTATCCTCGATAGAAGCCAAAAACATTGTATTAGAATCCACATAAGATTGTTAGAGGGCTTCACGACCTCACAAAGGAACTGGGTTTTCCGAAAGTTTGTTAAACTATAAATATGAATAGTCATACATAGCATCGTGCTGTGCAGGCGGGAAACTCTATACATGTCAACATAAAATATTACTACGTAAAAAGAGGTTTTAGCTAAGAGATATATGCCTAATATACTGTGGCAGCCAGGAGATACTAGTCGTCGTTTTATTCACAAAGGTGCTTGCGGGAAGAAAATTTTTAAAATTTATAGAGATACTGGTTGATAAGCGTTGGTTATTATGAAGGGATCGGAAGGGAGGGTGAAGAAAAAATTTCCAGTTTAAAATTATCAACTCAAACTCCCATAACCACAAAATATTGATAATTAAATTTTAATTCTTTTATCCGCTTATTTTTGTATGTAAGAGAAATATTTTTTACAGTAAAGCGAGTTGCGTATATTGTTGTCGCTTTTTGCTTGTACTTCGAGTATGCCTGTACTCTTCGAAAAAGGGTTTGAAAGTTCGAATTACAATTTAGTAAAGGTTTAAATTCCCTAACATACAGTGCGGTTAATAAGTAGAAGATAATTTGTATCTTTTAGTTTCCTCAGGAAACCTCCATGCATAGGAATTGTTAAAAGAATAACCATTTTTTACATTTGTCGTCCTAAATATTAGAAGGTCGCATTTTTAAGGACATTATAACGGTGGTAACAAAAGCTGACGTTTTTTGAGCTGTATACGGATTAACTTCTTATATAAAAGCACAATAAGGACCTAAATAACTTAACATGAAAATTTTAATTAATACAAAAGTAAAGCACTTATCGTTATATTGAATAAATTTTCCACTTTACGGATTGCAGTTGACTTTCAGTCACGGTCTTAGGTCAATATATATACAATTACAATTATCAAGGGTATAAGACCATAAAAACAAGTATTTTTCAATTTTCAAGAAGGGGATTTGTTAAGCCTGAAGGGCAGTAAATGTAAGTTTAGAGTCTAACGGATGTACAATTAAAAAGTTTAAAATTTTACTTTTAACAAAGTAATATTTTATAATTAGGTTGACATGGGGATGGAAGAGGACCTTTTTGATTTTATATAATTATTTATTAATTATTACTTGTTCATTCTGGTGCATATCAAAGTCGACAAATCTGAAACTCTAGTTACCGAGCAGGTTAGTTACAGTTATGCAAGCCTTCCACTTGCGTATGCATGCGCACGCTTCATGAAAAAAAGAGTAAATAAGATTCCTTGGATAAGTAAATTTAAAAAAGGCAAAGGCGTATATCTAATTTTATAGAATGCCGATTTACAGTGGTAAAAGCAATTATAAGGGAATCACACTAAGTGGAATTAATATTTAGTAAGAACTAAGGAATTTCGCTGATTCATTTTAAAAACGTTTAGTGGTTTAGGCATGAATGCACCAGGATTTCTAAAAAGCGAGACCAGAAATTTGTCTATTAATATCAATAAGAAGCTTATAGTTCAAATTTAAGTTACAACAATCTACCAATAGATAATGCGAGATTTGTATAGCCTCTTAAAATACACTGCATCAAATCTAGTTAAAAGCCATAATAAAAATAAGTCCACAGTTTTTTATACCATTACTTTTAAGTGGAATGTGCGGGGGCTAAAAAAGTGTTTTTCGGTACAGACACTATATTAAAACTGTTAATATTTCACTTAGGGCGTAACAACAAATATGTATAAATATTGTATATCATATGCAATTTTAAAATCTAAACTTCGACTCTAACGCCATTACGATGAAATATGAATTTGTAAATGCACATTAAAGAACTGAAAGGCCTTTTTAAAGAGGGAATACTTTAAGCACAATTGCTAAGAACATCCAGCTTAGTGGACATAGCGTTTAAAGATACCGCAATATAACGCTAACAAAAGTTGTATAGGTAATCTATCTACTGAAGGTGTGAGTTGTCACCGTAGTTCATGGTTAGAGCATTGTCGCGCGATCTCAGGGTAGCGGGTTCGATTCCCGTCGATGCCAACCCGCATTCTCCTGGTCTGGTAGTTACGTGCACAACTTCCCTACAAACAAAATTCTGGTAGATGCGATCACTCTTAACCCAAGTAAACTCTCCAATGGTTTTAGTGTGGCAGCATGCGAGGTGCTGTTTTTAAACGAACAACTTAGTAAAATATCTAGAAGCAAAAGCCCGTAATGAATTTTATGAAGGAAAAACAACCATTATTAAAAATTAAACCTTAACGTGTAAGTCGTTAGGCTTCACCCGTAAAATTAGAGGATAAAGAACTAGAAAGGGTTTTCTCATCAATATCGGTAGGTCACACGAAAATAAAGTGCTTTAGCTTATAATTACAAACTTACAAACCACTAATTATTTTCCTACGACCTGATATAATTAACGAACACAACATGATTCGAACAAGCAGTTAGTACTGAACCAGATTTTTCCAACAATATCTCTTAGAATACACTTGGTAGTATAAGTAATAAAAACACTACTATATAATAAAAACTAGAAAAGGTAATAAATAATCTAATAGGAGGAAATCATGAGAAGGGGTTATCTTAATATATACTTGTGTAAATAATAGTTTTTCTTTTGTTTCGTATTAATTTTGAGACACTAAGGATGTTAGACTGCAGCACATATCCCTTAAATAATTAAATATATAAGAATTGAAGAAGCAAAAACTATTTTAATAAAACTAATGACAAAGAAAATCACAATTTAACATCAAAAAACACCACTTACGAAGAAAAACGCAACATCTTAACATAGAAATAACTCGAAATTTACACAAAGCAAGAGAAATAACAAAAGGATCCCAGCAAACCAAGAATAGTTTTCTATTATTCATACGCTTCTATCATTTCTAATACTACTATCCCTGGCACACATTATACAAACATCACCGCAAACGGTATAACAGCATTTGTACACTTCACCAGTGCATATATCAGCTATGGGTTTACTCTTAACCTAATTTGGGTCTCCTACCAAATCAACGTCCACTTAACCCTTATTTTGTCAGGGTTAAGTCTCATAACCGCTTTAAGTATATTAATACCTATATTTTTCTTTATGTAACATTATGCCTAGTTAATAGGGGCCAGTAATCATTTGATTAGTTTTATCAAGTTCTAACACCCTTTATTAACCTAAATTAAATGTATGATATATTGACTGGCATTGCCATTGTTAGAACTCGATACTTTAATAATGACATCCTGCCCCCTAGAAGTGGGTGTCCACCTTTTGACGAGATGGGAAATCTACCAGCATAGATTGTTCTGGTAAAATTCCGCCACCCCCAAAAAAATTGATTATTACTAGTTTTGGACAAAAGGTTAGGTAATGACTTTATAAAATAAATAAGGAATAAAGTTAATATGTAAATCATATAATAAGATAAGGGGGTGTGTTAAATGACTTCTGCTCCTTTAAGGAGGGCGTCCACTTTTTATCGTGGTGGGGGATCTAACAGCCATAATAGCAATATATTAATTTTATGGGGCAGCTGGCTGCGTACCAGTAAGATTTCCCCACATATTAAAAATCGGGTGAAGTATCAACTTCAACAATCTAAGAGGGATATCTATTAATATAACATTACTCAAAAATTTTTGTTGGATGTTGTCTATTTAAGGCTTCTACTCATATTTTCCATAAGACGTTAACAATAAAAAATTAAAAATTTTAAAGATATAGTTTAGGCAAAGTCAAAAAACATACTTTTACAATAAAATTTTATAGACGTCAGTGAAACCTTGCAATAGATAATTGTTAGTCCTTCTTCGTTGGTATACAAATTGACTACATTATATAAAGCAATGCTAGGGGTTTAATTTAAACAATTTAAAATAACACATTCATGAATCAAGTTAGTAAGAAAACAAAAACGATTATATACTACACCATAAAAATAAAAATGGGTTCACTTACAGCCCTGAAAAAAATGCTACCATTTTTAGGCCCTTAATATAGCTACCAGGGCTAGATTTATTGTTGTTTTTGCAATACACTTATCAAGCAAATTTATAGTATCCACGACTTGCGTAATAAAATAAACAAAGAATATGGTTATTGTAAACTTGTCAAAAAACTTGATTAACACTGCAGTCTGAAATGTTCAGGATTTCATAGGAAACCTATGTAATATAGTATTAAGAAGTGAGCAGCGCCAATTTTTTTTGTTAGAAAAATGCTAAGTTGTGAAAGTATATATATTTATTACTTGAGAATTTCAATTAAGTATTTATCCCCTACATTGAACTAGTTTATAAATAATAAATTAACTAAATTTCAATTAGAGATTTGTAAAATTAATATTTATAAAGGTTTTGATTAAAATTATTTTTTTAAAATAAAAATTTATCATCTTTCATCCTTACAGTACATAGTAAAAGGATGGCGGTATTCTTTTCTCACACACTATTGGCCGTTAAAAAATTTTTTGTTTCAACGATGTCACGCGTTTTTCTTACAGTTTTAAAAATACTCCCTGTTTTGAGTCGGTTTTAGAATACTTGTCTGTAATGGAAAAAATTAAGGCCATCGAAGATGAGGTATATTTCAATTTTTATTTATTATTATTTTTACGTTTGTTAGTCTCTTCCTTTTTTTTAGATTGCGAGGACACAAAAAAATAAAGGTTTTTTAATTACTTATTTTTTTTCTCTTTCACCTTTATCTTTTTAAATAGCTACCATGGGGCACTTATGCCGTTTGAAAGCTCAGTTGGCTAAATACAAACGGGAACTTCTACTCCCCCAAGCTGGAGGTGGTAGTGGTAAAGGAGAGGGATTTGACGTTCCGAAGTCAGGGGATATTCGCATCGGTTTAATAGGTTTGAAAGCTACTATACAGCTTTTTATTTCTTTTTATCTCAGCAATCTCTTACAGTTCTGCGTACTTTAATATATTTTTTATTTTCTAACCATAGGATTCCCTTCGGTTGGCAAATCTACTCTTTTAACTAACCTTGCCGGAGTTCATTCTGAAGCGGCTGCTTATGAGTTTACAACTATGACTTGTATTCCTGGTTAATTTATTTTTGAGAAAGAGATATTGTTCTGTTAATACTTTTTGCTTTTGACATCAGGCATACTTGAGTATAAGGGAGCAAAAATACAAATATTAGATCTTCCGGGGATTATAGAAGGGGCCAAAGACGGAAAAGGAAGAGGAAGACAAGTTATAACAGGTACATTGGTGTTGTTACTGTATTTGGAATTATTTATTTCGTAAAGTCGCTAGGACTTGTAACTTGCTTTACATTGTGTTGGACATTATGAAACCGATTGACCATAAGCGAATAATCGAGCGTGAATTAGTAGCCATGTATACTATTTTATATCACACTTTCGAATTTATTATAATTGGTAAAGGAGGGTTTCGGAATAAGAATTAATAAATCCCCACCAAATATTGTTTTTCATAAAAGAAGTAAGGGAGGGATCAACTTTTCCACCACGTGTGTAAGCTGATTCATAGTTACGAAACTTTGTGAGTTGTGAGTATATTTAACATAAGCCAGAGCTAACTTATCTGGATGCGGACTCCGTTAAGGCTATCCTGCAAGAATACAAAATCCATAATGCCGAAGTTTTGCTGAAGGAAAACGCCACTGCGGACGACTTCATTGACGTTGTTGAAGGAAATCGGTGACGTTTGCTTATTAACTTATGACTGCTGTTGATTTATAGAGATGCTGCCTTAGAGTTTACATTCCTGCTATCTACTGCTTTAATAAAATTGACCAAATTTCTATTGAGGTAAAGCTTTTGTCGGCTGGTTTTCATAGCAGTTTTTAAAATAGCGCGTTGGGTGTACTTCATATTCCTGTTATATTGCAGATACGTCTTAATAGCTTGTGTTAAGACATCTTCTTTGACAGGAGCTGGATATTGTTGTGAAGATCCCTCATGTGGTTCCTATTTCAGGTACTTTCGTTGCTATGAGCAATCCACTTATCCCCCGAGTTATATGTTTTCCCCTCCTCCTCGCTAAGGTAGGCATGCAGAAGGCCTGGCGTTTTGCTTTCCTCTTTACTGCTTTACTGCGCCCAGGACACCACCGCTGGAACTTCGACGAGCTGCTGGAGAAGTCCTGGGAATACATGAACTTGGTGAGAGTGTAAGCACTGCACTGCCTATTAAAAATCCTTATGAGTGATTTTACTTCTCACTGCTCTTTTTATTCTCTCGATTAGCTATACAAAGCCGAAAGGTCAACTTGCAGACTTTGACGCCCCCGTCATCTTGAAAAGCGAAAAGCGCACCATTGAAAATTTTTGCAATAGCTTACATCGTGACTTAATCCACCAATTTAAATAGTACCTTTTTAGAGTTCTTCTAGCTTATCGCCAAAATTTTCTACCTCTACTTTCTTTATTTACCGAAGCGCTCTTGTCTGGGGTACCTCTTGTAAATTCAGCCCACAACGATGCGGCAAAGACCACGTGCTTGCGGATGAAGATGTTGTACAAATTGTTAAAAAGTAGTTTTATTAAAAGTATTTTATTTAGAAAAATATAACCCACTTTCAACTGCGATTTCTTCTGGGCCACTGGCGCATTGGTGGGAGTCGAACCTACGGCCTCGAGTTTGCCCGTCAATGCTCTTAACAGCTGAGCTACGACGACAGCTCTCGAGCCAGGTATGATGGTTTTACGTTTTAAATGAGAGCCCCTTCTATCAGTGGTCGCAATGGCGACTGTGTATCTCCCACGCGCACGCTAAAGGCGCAATTGTTTAAATATGACTTCAGCACGTCGTAAAGACCACGAGGGGCGGTTAACGAGTGCAGTTTGTGTAGTAGACCTTCATGCCAAACTTGGTTTGAGGTCTTCTTAAAGTTAAGGAAGGGGACCCCTGTTGTCTTTTTAAAGTTAAAAGCTCGAGTAGTTCAGTCGGTTAGGCGGAGCTGCAGGGTCGTTGAGTTTTGCCCGAAATGTAAAAGGGAACTCCTGCAATTAACGGCCCTCAAGACGGCGCGGTAAAGTGAACGAGGTGCCTGAGGATATCAGTAGTGCTTATATTTTACTATGCACATGAAATCGGAAAGATAATTTATATTGAAGTGTTGAGTACCGAGTTTACCCAAAAAGGAATTGCTCGTTTTACTTAATTCTTTACAAATTGAAGTACCATAACGACTTAACTTAATTTTAAGTGTAGCTCATCTATAACAAGTTTATAAGCCCTTTTTAGTGTTTGTTCGTGTCGCCTTTATTGCACAAACTTTTAAAATATACTAAAAAGTACTTTATATAATAGTCACTTTAAATACACTCAAGCAGGTCTTTAATAATTTAAACCTCTATAACAATTTGGAGTGGAAACTGCTTTATAGGTCGTCCTCAGGCCCACAGTGTTTATATAAATAGTTAAATTTAGGGAGAAAAGGATACTACAAGTGAAGGATATTTTCATAAAACATATTGAATAGCTAAGGGGACATAAACTGGTACTATCTTAGCTAGCAATCAAGCACAAAAACTTAAACGCTGTATTGGTGGTAAATATAGTAAGTGCGCAAGGGTTCAGACATCCAAACATAGTTGGTCTTATCGAGTAGAATATATAATCTATAACTGTTTTACCAGTACAGAGAAGATAACAGTTACCTATATAAGATAAAACCTTTTTATACAAGTAGCACTTTATTCTGCGCTTCCAATTTTAAGGGTGACATACACATTTCTAAACCTCATCGTTTTCCGTAACAATATTTTTTGAGGGATTGTATAATGAACAATCCTCATCAATATCATAGTTAGAATCTTCTAGAACTGGCGGACTCGCGGGCTCAGGAAAAGAAGCAGGAAAGAGCAAACCGGGAATATCCCAGCGAAGATCCATGCCTAAAAGAGTTACTGTGTGATTCCCAAAACTAAAGTAACGTTGAAATCGTTGCCTGCAGGGGGTAAAACTCCCTGGGAAAGCAACACGGGGGCTGCAGGTGCACTGAAAGAGCCCGTAGAGGCAGCGGATAGACTGGTGTCTGGTGGGTCGTGAGGGCTGACAGGATCTGTCCCGCGATCAGCAGGAGTCGATATTGGACGGTCAGGTACAAGCGTAGCAGTAACTTCACTCTCCGTTCCATCTTAGTAAAAATGAAGGAAGCGGAAAAACTAATTGAGTTGAAAAACGAAATGAATGTCCCGATGAGTTACCGCTCAGCTTCCCGCAAGGATGGCCTTTCGGAGAGATAAGGGCTGGTAAAGGTTTCACTCGAGGAATCTTGCCTAGTTGGTAACTTATGAGTTTCATCCGCCAAGAGCGTCAATAGCAACGAGCCTTGTTGGAGTGCTAGTATATCGTGCTCAATCTTCTGAAGTTTCTTTCTTTTTCCCTCTATTTGGGAAAGGAAGCCATTGTCGCCGTGGAAGACAGCTTTAGCGCCACCACTACTTGTTATAGAGAGTGACAATAACCATAGGGAGCCGGTCATATAAAGCGTAGCATAAAACAGGGAAGGGCGCAGTAACAAGACCCATAGAATCAACTATACTTCGATAAGACACTTCTCAACTGACTGTTTTCCTCTTTAAAGCGAGTAGACTTGGAAAAAAGCTCTTCGTTCTCGGTCGGAAAAGTTGACAAATTACGGCGCAGTCGGGCTAAATGGTCAGCATAAAAGGCTCTAATGAAAAGAGGCGAGAGGGCCTGCGCTATGAGTCTCCCAACGCACCATCCCTACCCCAGGATCTTCCCACGCCGCCCTACTTCGTATATTTCTTTGCCCAACACAGTGCACTCCCGAGTCCTAAGCAGGCACGTTATGAGAGTGTGGCTCATAAGACACAGAAAGGCCACGTTCCCTCCAGAACTTGCTGAACATTTGATTTCCAACCGGTAAGATAGCAAGTCACGTCTCTAAAACAGACAGAAAAGGCTTCATCCGAGCCAACGAAGTTCTCGGGGCACTTCTATTGTCCTTTAAATTTTAACAGTCTTCGAAACAACACTAAAATTATAAAGAGAAAGCCTGAATGAAGCTCTTAAACTCCTTTACTAGTCCGCGGAAAACTTGGAGCCTCGTCGTCCAGAAGATGAGTTCCCCTTGAAGGTCGAGCCACCGAGCAGTAACTGTCCGCAAAGAAGAGCACAATTAAGTAACAAGACGAGAGAAGAAAGGATTCATACCCCCATCCCGTGACGTATAAAGGACAGCAACTATATCCTCCACGCGGATTTCTAAATCTCTAGACAGTGCTTTCATCTTGCGGTATTCACCGTTTTCTTGCTGGCCCGGAATGCTTGGATCCAAAATAAAATCATGAGTGCCGATAGAACGATCAATATGTGCTTCTTCCTTGCAAAAAAGCGCCTTCCAAAAAATAAAGCGAAAAATAAAGAGAAAGCTAGCAAAGCTACCAGATCGCGCAGCGTAGTCCCGAAAGAAGCTTCCTTTTCGCACAAAAGTTTGTTTAATTCTGTTTCCTTTGCTTTTAAAAATTCAAGTTCTCGCTGCGTAGACTTAATTTGTCGTTCTTAAATCATGAATAAGTACAAGCGCAAGTAGTGAAAAGGCAGTAAAGTAAGCCATATAGCTGAAGCGGAGTTACGGCCACATGAATTTACCAATATGCTCGTTTTCAAACTGACAGATTCTGGACTCCTCAATAATCTCACCGTTAGAGTTGTCTGCATGCTCCTCTTAAAAGCATTAAAGTAATTAAATAAACTGTAACTGAAATAATAGAAGAGTTTCTACTCTGAATTTGGTTAAGAAGTTCCAGATTCTCGCGTTCTAAGGTGGCCAAGCGGTCCTGTGTGCATCTCAGGCTACTCGAAAGCGAACGTGAACTTTGCCCCGCCCCCCGACTAGAACTTCTTCCTTGCTTATTTGCGCCATAGCTACTTGGCGCGAATCTATATCGCCTCATAGTAAGATGCGCTCCTATTGAGCTCAACCACAACGACAACTTTTTAACAAAAAACAGGGCACTGTAAGCAATAAACATAAAAACGCCAATTTCAAGGGTAAGTTGAGGCTTTTGGAGTAGTAAGCCAGTCTGCTGGCACAAATGTATATAAAAATGTTATGAGGGGCTAAAGATGATTAGCTGAGTCGAAGGCGATACAATCTCGAGGTAACTTTTGCGCAATAAAACAATAAATTCCTTCGCAAAGAAACTCAATCCATCAGTAACTTCTACAAATCTAAGATCTAATTTCGTGAATTAAATGTAATAAAGACGTAATATTTAGCCAAGAGCACTTGCAAAAGAAATAAAATAATAAATAAAGCTCGGAAATGCCTTCTTCAACACCTCATAGACATCTAAGAAAAGTTTTAAACGCAAATACGTGAACAGAGAATAGAGGTAACAGAGTTTTACTGTTAAGTATAGTAGTAATCTCCGAGTAATTTGCAGTATAAAGCGTGGACAAAAATGACGGCGCTACACTCGTAATAAAAACTTTGAAATAACTTAACCTTCAAATAGCATAAAAGATAAAAGTAACTATTGTTTAATGGCTTCTTCCTGCGTTTACCCGTAGCGACGGAATTCGGACTAACGTAAGTAAGTGCGATTTCTCCCTGGATGGAATTGTGAAATTCAGAATTAGAAGCTCTCTGTAGCCAAGAAGTCTTTGGGGAAGTATTATTTACAAGTAGTTCGGCTACAGATCCTGAGCTAGAGTTATCTAAAGAGGTAGTCTCTAGAAAGGGCTTTTGAGAATTCGCTTCTTTATTAGTTTCTTCATTATTGTAAAGGCCAACTAACATATCTCGAGGGCACATTTGAGAATTTAAAACATATTCCTGGGGGGTATTCTCTACTTCTGCTATTAAACTGTATCCAAGCCATAAAAAAAAAATAAGATCGTCTTTGAATTTAAGTTTTTAAAAAAACCTTCCGAGAGAATTTGTGGGCAATTGAGAAAGAGAAAAGTCTCTATTATTAAAGTTAAAGGTAGCTTTATCATGTTTCACACTTAACTCTGCGTAATTATCTTGAAAAAAAAAGGTTATACCAACATCTGAAATATGGCGAAGTGAATACTTAATAAACCAATTAATCTAGAGTTCTCTAAAACTTGAAATATTTATAAAGTAGCTATAAATTACCTACCCTTGTTAAATAAATTGTTTACTGAAGAGAGTAACGATGAAGCAGCACAGAACCTACTCGTTGCTCCAATTCCTAAAGCAGGTAAGCCCCTCTTGCAGAAAGGAGAGAGCGTTTTGTTTTCATTTCCAGTAAAAACTTGTTAAAATAGCTTATAAATCGGAATACTTCTTATAAGTTATGTTAAGTAATAAATTTTCTTAACTATAGGGTCTGGGTAAAATAAAACAGTATTTAACCTTTCTCCTCTCCAGGTTTCCTGGAGGCCTTACACTTTACTTTATAATAAATTATGGGAAAAAAAAATAAAAATTTGAAAACAAAATTTGTCATTAGCACTAATACACTAAACAAAAGACCGGAAATAAAAAGCAACAAAATATAAGGCTCGTGACGCACAATATAGCCCAATGAAAAGTTTACAAGGTTCATATCATAGAAAATTAGGTGGTTAATGAAAGCTTAGAAAAATGGTTCTCTTTATGAAGGTGAGTGGGTTTCACCTTTTAATAAATAAAACCTTGTGCTAGTTAAAGTAGAGCAAATTAAAGTAGATTTTGCGTAGTAATATAGGAAAAGCCTTTTGGAGTTAAGGAATACCTCCCTAACTTAAATTACTGATTTTTAAAGCAAAAAATGTTACAAGTACTGGGAAGAAAATAAAGGCTCAACAGTGAGAACTGAGTTGAAAATATTATCATTAGGAAAAAAAATAGAAAAATTGATTAACAGACTTGATAAAGGAACAAGGATAGTTTGAGGTGAGACTATATCAAAAACAGAACGATTATAAAACTAGAGACTGTTAGGATTAAAAACTGGCCTTATAACGGAATTAACTTAAAAATAGAACAGAACTTAAAACTAAATATTAGAAGCAAAACTCGAAGCTTCAAATACAAGTGACAGGCACTGCAATAAATTAGTGGAGGAAGGTTTAGATCTACCTCTTGCTGGGTTGCAGTACAAGCGCAATATATCTTGGCGTTATATACCTTTTTTTATGCTTATTTGGTTGCTTATCTGTGAAACCGCATTTTATCCGACTGACTTCTAGGAGGCCCATAACGCATACAAAACTCTTAATTCTGTCATTATCTTTATAATAAAGACCTTTTTCCCTGCTAAATTTCGTTTTTAATTTTTAAGTTACAAGTTCTGTTTTAAACCACTTTAGAACGCCAATTGGAAGTTGTACTTACACCGAGTTTCTTTTATATATAATATTATCATTATTATTTGTTCAAGTCTGTCTATCTTAGAACTCCTAACTACCACATAAAACCTTGCTACCGTAGTATTATAACAGGCACTTTATTTCTAAAAAAAGGACTAAATTCTAGTCTTTTTCTAAAACCCTGGCATACAACGGTTAATACTCGAAGGGTTATCGTAACTGCTCGAAAAACTAAGGGCAAGTGGAAAAAGTTTCACCCCAACCCCCTCTATTTGGTCTAGTAAAATAGAATTATGAGATAATTAACTAGAGGAAGACATTCTACATGAATGGAATAAATATCTACCAATGACTTTCTATGTACAAAAATTTATATACTAATTTAATGGAATTATGCTTAATTATAAAATTCCATCTTGATAGAGTCTTCTTTTCCAACTCTATACATCATTTACTAATTCTCTTAAGGTTTACATAGCGCCTCACCTGGTCCTAAATTGGATAATTGTTAATGCACCTAGTGTTATTTTAAGCCAGGGTTGATCTAATTTTTAAGCAAATATTACAAAAAGCTATGAAATTCCTAATCAATTACCAGAGTAGGCTATTTGTCCCCAAAGACACCTAATCTAAGAGAGGCTGTTTACGAACTATTACAACTTACATAGCTAACACAGAACTAATCATTTCTCAAGCAGGTCAGAGATATCTCGAAGAGGTATTTTACTCTAGGCCAAACACAAAGAAAGGTTAAATAAGTAGTTAAATCCTTTAACTTGAGGCCTACAGTTTAACTGCTCAGATAATAGATCGTAATAATTAAATACTTGTTTGATTGCATCAGCTGAGTTGTCTATATCAGAAAACTGGAAGTTATGTACCGCTTACTAGCACAATCATCTTTTATTGCTTCTTTAGCATTATACACTTTCGAATTCACGTAAGTGTAGTGAAACCGCGAACCATCACTTGGGGAAACGTTTAGGGTTACGAGACTCGAGGCTCTGGGTAGCGACCAACAATGATAGCCAGACCTTCCCTGCCATTTAAGCCTAATTTTTTTTCTTGGCGCTCATCAAGTCAATAAATGTCTTAAATTTTTGAGCTCTCCACAGGGTAATAGCATAATATGAGATTTTAATTTACTACCTTAAGCCCTAACTTCATTAGAAATACAAGAAAATTTCAAAGGGCATTGCGAGGACGGCGATAGTGTTCGCAAGCATTTGGTATTCAAAGCCAGCCACTCACGTCGTCCGATCTTGACGCTCCTAAAGTGCATCACTTTTTGGTCATTTTACGCAGGGATTTTATCTGTAAACATTCCGCGTAGAAGAGCTGAATCGCAAACCGGAACGGCTAAAATTTTGAGGCTTACCCTGAGGAACAAGGGTTGAGAGTCCTAGGACCCTAGTAGGCAATACACATGGCGAGGAAGACGGGCACAATGGCCGCGCTAGATATCGCTTTGTTAAAAAAATATATATGCCTTCCAACGGCTACTGAGGCACTGAATGAATCGTCGTCGAACCAAATGCCGGCCCTACTCGAATTGAGCGACCAATAGTAAGCAATAAAGATTTTTTTTTCCGATCTCACATGAATGAAGCAAATTCACCGAATTGCTCGAGAAGGTGCCCCCCCCCCCTCCCTCCCTCCCTCCCGTTTACGGCACCAATCGCATTTTCCGCTAAACGAAACAGTGCTGTCGTCGGATTTAGCGCGCGGTTGACAGAAGCTCACAGCAAATCAACGATGACACGTCAATTGTGTACCGCCTTAACGCCTTCCTGAAGAACTAAAGGCATTAATATGCGGGCGTCGGCGACTCATACGAGTAGTCATGACCTTTCATCGTGTAAATGACAGGCTAGTGCTAAGCAGCCTTTACCGGCACATTAGGAAAAGCTGACAGCGCATATAAACTTCCATTAAGATAACAAACCAAAGAAGTATGAAGATGGCGACATCAATCGCGTCTCCTAGTAAATTTTCAAGAGTTAAAATCGCGGGCATTCGACTCGGCCACCTCTTCACAGCGACCATACCGTAGCCGAAAGCGATAAAGACAAAGCAAAACTTTATGCTGATCATCTAACTTCCCAATGTTCGCCATCTACTCCCTTAACCGTCGATAACGCTTCCCTTATGCCCAATCTTGTCTCACCTGATATAACTGATATTCTGGAGCTGGTTAGCAGAGATGAGATCAAATCAATTGTTAAATTACTATCGGAACAAAAGGCTCCCGATCCTGATGGCATCACTGATTTGGTGTTAAATAGTTACTAAAGGTTTCTATGAACCATCTATGCTGTCTCGTCAACTCGGTGTCTACCTTAGCCTATTTTCCAAGGCGATAGAAAATGACGGTGGTCGTAATGTTACCAAATATCCCAACTGGCACCAGAGCCTCGCAGCTATCAACCTATCAGCCTTACGTCGGCAGTTGGTAAGGTAGCTGCAGGAGTGATATTTGATCTTTTTAAGGCAGTTTTAGATGCTCGAGGAATTTTATTAGAGTTTCAGCTTGGATTTTGCAAGAAAGACTCAACGACTAACAAATTCATCACCTAACCAAGTGGACGGCCAGAGCCTTGCGTTTTTAATTAAGCCACCGGCGCTGTCTTTCTCGATTTTGGGAAGGCTTTTTTAATCGAGTATGGCATGGTGGCCTGTTATGCAAGCTACATGCTTTGGCGATACTGCGCGGCCTTCGCAAAGTTCTTTAGTCGTACCTTAACGGCCTGGTCTTCCAAGGGCGAATAGGTGCTGAACTGTCATATCCTGGGCTATTTCACAGCGGTTGCCCCTCAAGACTCTCTTCTATCACCGCAGCTATACGCACTCTATACGAGCGACGTTCTTCTACCAAGTCCACCCTTACACGTGGGTCATCATTTACGCCTATGATACTATGATTTATCCTTCTTCAAAGTCACCCGTTTGACTAGTTCAGCTCCTATAATTGTTATCATGACGCGCTTGCTAACTGGTGTCGTCAATGGGAGAAATGTCATGCGCTGCCGACACCGTTTAACTTTTTACGACATGGAAATTTCCGTGGTGCTCACAGGTAAAATACCTGGGGTCACTATAGTTCTAAGCTATCGTGACTTTCACATGTAAATTACATGGCGGCAAAAGTCAAGGCAGCGACCTAGATGCTATATCCTCTTTGTAGGGGCTTCATGTGCTGTGCATTAGACTAAGACTCCAGCCTGGGCCTACGACTTAACGGCAGTAATGCCCTCGAATCAAGTGCGACAAAATAAACTGCTACAACTTTTAGCAAATGCGCTGTGGTAGGCCTGCAATAATACACTTCACGACGAACCATAAATTGAGCTGCTGGACGCAATCTTTAAAAATGATACTTTCGCCCTCTCCGAACGATAACTGTGCACGATATATTACCTTTTAGCGGAAGAACTGGACGGCGCACTGTAAGCATGACGGTTGAAGACTAAGTTGGTGATACAGTCAAAGTAAAACACATTTTAAGATAATTTTACTTGTACTCGTGGACGACCAAAAACCTGTTTGGGAGCTCGGGTATTCGAAGTTGTTAACCCTACTGAGCACCAGGAAACGCTATTTATTAATAAATCACCCCTCTTCTTTTTCTCCTTTATTTTGTTTGCTTAATATAGGTGGCGGGTGTGGTCCTCCTCCGGCAGCTCAAAATTATCAATTAAAAATTAGGTTAACAAATTAGCCCTACAAAAGGCATGGAGAAATTTTTAGAAAGGAGGTCTGCGAACAAACTTACTAAAAAGGTCGTAACAAGTGAAGTAAAAAAATACAATTAAGTTGACCCATTTAACAAGCTTAACATAATTCCAACCCTAACAGATTTTTTTTCTTTCCTTATAGCTATTTTTAATAAAGGCAGGAAACTTCTCTTCTCCACGTATTATTGTTACGCCGCTTTTAAAAGGCAATTAGCCTTCTTTGAATACTGATTTTCTCACTACGAAATTGTTTCGTTTTTTTATTATAAAATAAATAATGGAAAAGCTAGTGCATGGCCTGGTATACAGAAAAGTAATTTGTGCCTCATTTAAATTGGATCTAAAGATATTAGCTAGCTCTACTCGCATGCAAGAGATATTACCATTTCTAATTAAAGGTATTCTTATAATAAATACATATGTCTATCTGCGCTAACGTAATTCTAAACAGAGACTGGAAAGAACAATTCAACCTTTTTACATAAGTTTAGTTAGGTGACTAATGTTAGAAGTAGCTTTGCCTTGAAGAGCTTATTATTGCAAAGTTTTAAAGGTGGAACTACTTACATATTGCCGAATTGAGTTTGCAGTTGTGCTAGTTTTATTTAAATACTAATTAGCTGATTAACTCAAAGTTGAGATTAATTACTAAAGAACCACAGGCAATTATAACAACTTTGAAAAAGTGCAAACCTTGAGCAAGCTAAGAATCAATTTTTGAAACTTAAAGTTAAAATAATCTAAAGGCTCTATAAGAATTTTTTTTGTATAGTTATCTCTATACCGTCTGAGAGTATAAGTCGAGAATTACCTTTTTAAAAATTATTTTAACCTGATATTCCAGGATCCTAAGGGGGATAAAGCTTACTGAATTAGTTTGCGCCAATACACAAGTTAGTCTAGGGGTTCCTAATCCTGAATATTGGTTGGCCCTCCCAAGTAATCCCTTGCCAATTGCAGCATATCCGCTTTGTCAGATTTGTTATATAGCGCACCGGCACTATCTACTCTAGTGACCGAAGTATAATAAAGACTACTTAGTGTAAATACTGTATATTATGAACTATTAATTTCACTAGCCCCCGACCCTACTCAACGCAAGAAACAGGTCGCCCCCGCGACCATACGATAAAAGATAAAGATCTCTCGAACCGCATCACTGGCTCGCTTATATACACAAGTTTACAACTTAGCCCTCACTAAGCTATATGCGCTCAATATCTACAGATTTTTCACGAAGTCAAAAATTGGGCCCCACTTCCAGGGAATAGGAAATAATAATTTCTGTAAAGCCGCTTTACCCTTCTTTTTGGTTGCTAGAATCATTCTCGTACACAATTTAAGCGAAACAAAAAGAATGACGAAAGATTTAAAATAATTCATAATTGTATCTCCTGACCTACCTTTTTTTTTAAGAGCGCCGCTTAAGTCTTTATTCTCAAGTCTCAATTTTAGGCTTTTAGGGATCCCTTAAATATATTGTACTAGGTAAATATATATACTCATAACATTTACCTTTAAGCCTTATAAATAATTTAGTCGTTTATGCCTCATGACCTAAATCCTAGTAATGGGCTTAATATTAACCCTACGTACCAGTTTAATAGCTGAAACAAAGTAGGGGCCCCTTTTTAGTATTACAAACCTATTTATTTTATTAAACGTTATCATTACTTGTGAGTGTAGGTTGTATTAAATGAATGTATCACATGTGCCTCTTCTCTTTAAGGCGACAGACTTACGGAAATACAACTTACACAGGTTTCTTAAGGCCAAAGCTTACTAGACAAATTCAAATCTTCGAATTCAAAATCAGTACTCTGACGAGGAAGTTTAATCCTTTACAAAGTTTGCTTGAATCCTTGGCATAAAGCTACTCTGGGTCCGCCGCCATAGGTGAAGAGATCGTTAAACTTTACCTCACGAAGCTTTGTCTAGCTAAACTTAGGCAGAACTTTCAACAGTTGGTGATTTATAATTGGCTGGCAGGGATCGCTAACAGCTTGGTTTTCCTTTAAATTTCTGTCGCAAGCAGGAACTGGGCGAGTTAAGTAACTCATTCCTACTTAAAAATTCTTTTATAAGCCTTGGGGCATCTATAAGTCCCTCCCTACCTTCTATAGGATGCCTCTGCAAGTACCTCCGGGAATCAGTGGACAAGTCAACAAGAACAGGTTCCTTTGATCTATATAAATATAATTAGCTAACCGATATATAAAATAACTGCAGAAAAAAGAAGCTTTAATATAATTGCTTACAGGTTTAAGAGACGGAGGACTGAAGGAGTGTCGCGCGGCTAAGAGTGTAGAATATTGTTTAGATGTAATTTGTGAACATACTACAACCAAACATAGAAGAACTGTTACAAGTGAGATACCTCCGCAAGCCCACCCAAGATAACGTCTTTCGCGTACACATTCCCAGGCGGTGTTCTTACAAGTGTTTAACAAAAAAGGAAATAATCTAGCAGGAAACCGAATACCTTCCAGTAACTGTGAAGGAATCGCTAGAATTGGAGGAGTGGACGGGCATTTGGCCGTTATCTTCAGGTTTTAAAACGCGCTCAATATTCTGAAGAAGGGTTTGGAAGGGCGCAGCGCTCTCAGGTTCAGTTCTCATTCCGGTGCCGCCTCTGCCAGTAAGAGTGATCAGATAAATGCTCTTTAAATATCATGCAGGATAATATATACAAGCCTTTTTTGGTTGCTCGGGTTATGAACTTCAAGAAAACCACAAGTATCACCAAAGTTAATATTGCTTTTCTTGTTTGGCAACTCTTTTAATAATAAATGCAACCCTTCAATTATTTCATTTTGTTGCTCTACAACTTTTGACAACGTTTGAGTGCTCGCCAGAAGCGTGGAATATTTTTCTTCTAGTTTATTTACTCGATTCTGTAATATTTGCGTGTTCTGCGAAAGGGCTTGCAACTGAGCTTCTTCCATAGATAAAACTCGCTGAAGTCCGGTAGATGACAGACCTTCACTTATTCCAAAAAGTTTATCATTTCGGCTAACAAAGTCGACAGAATTCTTCTCTTCAGATTTATATGTGCTAAAATTTGTAGTTTTCTCCTTAATAATAGAGTTAGAGGGAATCTAGGCAGTAAAGGTGAGGAGCGTTAGGAAACCATGGCTAAAAAAGAGGAAGGCTCCCCTTCGCAGTCAGTGGGAACTAATAGGCCATCTTCATAGTAATCCCTTTTTTTATAAAGTTATAATAATCATACACCATTATTTCGACCGGTCGCCCGCTAGATCTACAAAATTAAAAACAAATATAATACTTAACAGGGAGAGGCCGGAAATGTTAAAGAGTATGTCAAAGCGCTGGTTCTGACCTCTGTCTACTACAAAGGACATCTCGCCTACGCACAGCAACGTCTCGCTAGGCTGATGTTATAGTCTAAACAAGCTATTACAATGTAAACTAACAAAAGGCACCTGATAGCGACAAAGGTAGCAGCGCGGAGATTGCTCAGGGAAAAAAATTATGACTGTGAAGTCTCTCGAGTTAACTTCACCGTAACGGGAAGCACAAGGCTTATGGCGTGTATCGAAACCACAATATTTGGTAACTAATGCAGAGAGAAACCCACTTTCTATCGAAACAATTCCACAAACCCAACTAATGAAAGTAAAAATTATTAAAAACCAGCCACCTTAAACAGACATAAAAGCAGCAAAAGAGAGCACTCAAAAATGGTAGCTATTAAAGCACAACCCAACGTGTGTAATAAATAAATACAATCCATGAAAAGGACTCTCCACTTTATTGATGTGGACATTGGAAAGACAAAGTCCTTCTCTTGTTTCTGTAATAAAACTAAACAAATAAAAAAAAAGTTAGGAAAGGCTATCAGGCTACCCTATAATTTGTAGAAAATCTTTGGTACCCAAACTTGGGCTTCCCTTTGGTAAACTCTTTATCTGTCACTAAAAAGTCATAAAAATTGTTTTTATAAATTTTTAAGTCGCACAGTTGAATTTGCCTAGTAAAAAACTGACTCCCAAGGCCACTAACAAAACCTCACGAGGGGACATAACCGTTAAAAAAGAATGAATTTAAACTGAAAAAAAACGTTTACATAAAAAGGTTATCCGAGCCTCCGAAAATAATACTCTTACAAAAATTGAAAGATAACTCTTGGCCGAAATATTACAACTTTGCACTAAAGAGGTATAAAGTCGTTTTTTAACGTTAAGTTTAAAATTCTGAGGAAAGGGTAAAAAGGCATCTTTTTGATCGCTTTTAGAAATCTGTTATCGTTAGTAAAATAATAAGTTACTTCTTAATAAAAAAAAGCTTTTAAATATACAAACCTCTACAGTGGCATAAAAGTCAGAAGGTTTATTAACACAAAATTTACAACCGAGAAGCTCTAAAAAGTTGACTAAAATAAATAATGTATACCTGAATTTAATAAATGGTAAACCATCTTCTGAAAGTACTTCAAATTCAATATACCCATGAATAAAGATTGCATCTGCGGAAAAGTTTATGATTTCTTCCAACTGAAATATAAGATTCTTTTTTAAAATTACTCGGGGGAGACATTTAGGCCTCACAATACTATTGATAGTATGGAAAAAGAATATAAAAAATATACAAAACTTTATCTAAATGACCTTATTATATAGTAATTACCTCCACATGTAGTTTGGAATCTTAAGTTGGAGTTTTAAGACTTTTTTGCTAAACTTAAGACGTCAACGAAAACATCAGAAAAATCAATGGGGTTAGTCCCTTCGCGACAATATGTTAATGATTTCTAGCTGACAGTGTTGCTAGAAGGTTACAGGTTTTCAGGTGGTTTTCAAAAGTTATTGTCACCGCTCGATGTCTCCTCCACCCTTCGATTTCTTGAGACAGGTTTACTGTTATACTCAAGAAAGTAGCACCAGGTAGTCATTTGTGACTCAACCCTAAAAATGGATAATACAAATTAAGCGCTTGAGGTTTTATTAACGAGGCTTAGTATACCGGTAAAAAAGAAATATAGTAAAAAGACTGGTAATAATTTAATAATGACTAAAAATACAATTTACTCTTTTATGGTTTGCAGATCACTTAATCCCACAAGTTTGGGGGCTCAAACTAAAGCGTGAGCTTGTCAGAGAAATTTAATAACTTCCCATTATTAATTTTTTTTTATAAAAAAAGACGGCAGCTTGTAAAAGCAGTAGTATACGACCAGATATTGTTCTTCTAAGTCAATAGTTTTAAACATGTCTAAACCGAATAGTCGATCTCAAGATGACTTCTCTAGTGTATAATCCCTTATAAACTAAGAGTTTCAAGTTTAACTAAGGATTCTTTATCAGTTTATTATATAAACACCGCAAAATAGAATACATTACGAACCTAATTAAAAATAAAAATTTTTATTACTAATAAAGATATACCACTCTTGTGACCAATTTATTATACTCATAAAGGTTTTTAAACCATTTTTTTAAACTTAAAAGTCTTTTATTATTGTTGTAATTAATTTGACTAAATCTCATCTAACAACGATGTACCCTTTAATTTTTCCTCAATGTATTTGACTAATAATTTCATCTAATAGTCATCGTTTGAGGCATACTATAGGCGACTAAAATAACCATTTCCCTAAAACTATTAGTACTTTTCGCAAATTTTTAAGAAAAACAAGGACTTTATTGAACAGGGCACAAGTTGCACTTTATAGAATAAACCTTGGCAAGACCGCAACTATGAAAAAGGTTGCAGTATTTATACCCCTCATGAAGGCTTATTGCGCTCGTTCCCATTTAGAGATGTTCTAATGCAAAACCACTGGTTATTGAAAAAGAACTAGATTTTAAAGGAGCTGCTGTAAAAAAAAAAAAGAAAATAATAAACGCTTTTATTACTCTAAACAGATTGACATCTTTAGTAAGCCCTCTTTTGGTGATTAAGTTAATTTTATATAAACTATTTAAAAGTAAGATTTTTTGGCACATAATACTTATAAAACTTAGGTAGCTGTTTTTATTATATTACACAAAAACTCAAAAAAGGCATCGGTTTATGGTAGGCAAGAATGTTTTAAGTTAATAAATTTGAGATACCCAGAAAGCTTAAAGAGAGTTTAAAAACGTATTTAATCCGTAACTGTTAGTCCAATAATTAATGTAGCTCAAGTAAAAAAGGAAATATTCACAAAAAGGTAGTTATTAAATCAAGTTTCTAATACTTTGGATAGTTAATGTTAGGATAAATTTTATTATCCAATAAATTAGAGCAAGCATTTTACAGAAGAGCTGTAAATATCACAACTTTTAGTAACTTTACTACGCAAGGTATTTAAACAACAAAAACTTAAAGCAATTTTACCCTTTGATGATTCGTAAAATAGTTTCTTGTTAGAAACTGGGGACTTTATTAAGCAAAAATTACAGAATCCCTATTTTAAAAGCCTTTACCTAGTAAAACAAGTTAAAACGATTACGCTCTACCTATTACTGCCTTGGATAATTAATAATGCACCTAAAGGATGATAATCAGTTAATATTCAGATGTGGAAAGCATTAGCAAAAAAAGAAAGTTAATATACTGAAAAAAGCTACATGGAAAAGAAAAATACAACCAAGGCTACAAAATGAGGAAATTTTAACGACAATAGCATAACTAGAAAAAAAAAAAAGTGTTAACCTCTAACTGTAGTAATATCATAATAATAATTAAATGCTGGTTTCTTTATTAGCTAGTAGTAACCTAGTTATAAAGTACAGTCAACGGCAAAATAATTGTCTCGGTAAGCTGAGCATCGTGTACTTAAAGCTTTAATAATAACCTTTCATTTTTTCTATTTCTGTTTTAGAATTGTAATTATGCTCCGTTTACTGAATTTGTTTTATATTCGTAGTAAAATACAGAATACTGGCCTGTGAAAGGTTTAACGCTTGCAGGGGTTCTAACGTTCAATTCTATAACCATACCTGGTCTGCTACTAACATTGGTCGAAGCAAAGGCGAAACATGTCTTTACCTTGCGATACTTTTCAGTTATCATCCGCCCCCCTGCTATTTTCAGAAGATAGATCGAGAAAGTTGTTTACAAATTATCTTGCTATATGTTAGCCTAACAAATAAATTGGTCAACTCTCGCTCTGACTTTGCTACATTTCCTTATTCAGGTTTAAAGAAAAGATTTTCATCTTGTCTTCTACGAGAGGATAAGGAAATGGCCTCAGAGACTGTCTATTTCGTTTGACACGAAATACATACTACGGCCTTAGAAGCGTGGTTCCGTAATTTGGAAGGTTCTACTTGATACGTTCGTAACATCTTACAACCGCCCTTCAGAACCTCAAGGCATCCCCCGACGACGCTATAAAATGGGAAAAGATAGCGCTTTATTATAAAGAACACAGAAAAATATATATTTCCGGAGAGGAAGACGTTAAAATTATATACATGCAAGGAAGAAGAGAAAATAATTAAATGCTTGCTCTTGATGGCGTTAACTAAATTGGAGCCCTCGAATTACAATTGGTAAACGAATTAACCTAATAAAGCATTAAGAGCGCTGTTATAGCGCTTTTGCAATAACAGATACCTTAGATAATATCTAATTAAGTAGATTAAAGGAGAAAAGGCTATTTTTACCTATTACTTATTATGTGTAACAACTACAAATTTAATGTGATATAACACTTCGGTTAAGGACGCGGATGGCCCACTTATTTAATTACAAAAAATTGGCTATTATAGAAGATAAAAGAAATCAAAATCCTCCAAAAGTGTAACAAGTAACTTTTTAGCTTTTTCGAGACTAATAATACTTTACTTAAATTAAAAAAGTCTTTAAGGCGATTACTCCTTGTATTTTTCTCTGAAAAAGAGGGTTTTCTCTACGCTCTAATGTATACGCAATCGTTTTTACTTACGTATATACTAGTGCGAACGAATTATATTTTGGAATGACTCGAGAGCGACGTTTTTTTTTTAATTTTTGTTATGTAATAGTTCTGTGCCCCTCAGGGGTTTTAAATTTATCGAGTAAACTATTACCGTGCCTTAAGTCTTTAATAACTTTATATTATAATTTATAGTTTATAATGTGTTGTTTTATCATATAATATATTGTTTATAGTATATTATTTTCCGAAACTTATACCAGCTAAAAATTCATTCATTACTATAGGGAGTCACTTTGTAAAAATAAAAATTAATGGCCCAATATCTAAAGTTAAAGATAATATAGCTAAAGGGTTGTTAAAATGCAAAGCAGAATGCCAGCAGGATTTAAAGGAGTTTACTAGTTTTAATAACAGAAAACTTTGTATGAGGCCGGACAAAGTTTCATTTGGAATAGGTTTAAAATTGGTTTTGGGTTCTCTGACAGATAGTAGTTTAATAAGTTATAAGAATGTATATAAGTATTTTATTTTATAATAATGATAGAAGGGATATACGTTTTTGGTTAAAGTACTTTACATTTGGAATAGCAGAGGTAACAGTACATAATATAATAATGTGGGTTGTAGTGTGCTTGAATGTAGTAAGACATTAGCTATTATATGGCATCATATATTATTGAGAAGAAGCGATTATTAAACTGTATAATATCGAATATAGCAAACGGTGTTGGGCAGTTAAGATTACGGAACGTAAAAAGAAATTTGAGGATAAGGAAAGTGGAACGTGTAAGAGAATGATAAATTCACAGGACGAACTTTCAAAATAAAGAGCTGGTTATTACTTCCAGGAATTTTATACGTTATTGGTGAGAGATCTAAAAACATTCATTTGAGGAGTTTAAAACGTAAAGAAGGAACAAAATAAAGGACAGAAATTTAGCTAAGAGTATTTAAACTAATTTGGAACAAGAGGAGAAGTTGTGGAATAAAATTTTTTAAAAGTAGAACTAAAAGAGTGTTCTAGCCTTATATGGTATACTTTCTTACAAAAGATAAAGTAAAGCTTAAAGCAATTCGACGAAAAGTAGGAATGAAACTATAAGCAAGTATTGGTAGCCATTTTAAATAAAAGTTGCTATCAAAATATGTGATGACTTAAGGGGCCTTTGTAGATAATGTGTTAGTAGTACACGGGTCCTAATGACAGACTAATAAATATGGAGGCGAGAAACTGCAAATATTTTACTACGTCAAATGATGTTATAAGGCTTTACTAGCAGAGCTGGACAATTTAGAGTGGGTATTATTTTGCCTTTACTAGGCCCTTTCAACGCAGAGCGCAATGGGTAGCTTTGTTTGGTGGTTAAGTAAACGCTCTGATTTAAGTAAAAAGGTATGGATTTTATAACCGTCTGTCTGAAAAACACAATCTCTATGTAGATGATTGCCTAGTGTAAAGTGAAATCAAATTGGATCAGTTACAAAGCTTTATGGGTCCTTTTTTACCAGATTTAAGTATTTAATACTGTCGTTCATGGTTAATAGTATACCGTCTACTAAAAACGGATAAATGAAATGGTATTGAACAGAGAGCAATGACTAAATTCAGTTTTCCTCGGGGTACCATTAAGACTGATAACACTATTAATACTATTTTTTCAATTTCCGCTAACTAATTAGCTTCCCAATATTGGTTTATGAGCAACTTTAATCTTTTAACTAATTTTTCTTTAGCGTAGGCTTCTATACCAATTTTGAAAAGGATCTCAAGCTTCTTAATCGGTATTCTTTTCCTTGAGAGGGTGGTGGCCCCAGTGTACGCTCCCGAAGGAGTTATAATTACAGTACTGGAGGACTGAAAATGCGGAAGATATTAAGCCTGGGCTCCTGCCCTTCGACCTAGCGAGGTGGTAAACCCGCTAAAAACCATGTATGGGAGAGAGAGGTCACCTGAAGGCCATTTAGCAAAGTGCCGGCAAAGCCTCCCCCACTGCGAGCTTCGTTTAGTTAATTTTGCACGTATTTTTATATTAAATAGAATTTACATCATCTCACTCACCTGATGGTTTTACATACCGTTGCCTATCTGAATTTGGCAATTCCTGATATTATATTGTGTAAAGTTAATCTTTTATCTAACAAAGAAAAACCTTGTTAATCTTTATTAGATTGGAAGGAAACTAAAAAAACACACACAATGAATAGAGGTTCCGTGCTCTATATATATATATTTTTAGGATAGTTTCGAGGAATCTGATTTAATCACTCTGAATACCAACGGGCTTGCCCAAATTTTTTTATTTAAAAATTTTTTTAGTAATCTTTGGTTTCTTCTCTTGTTAAAATGGTGTTTAAACTACATCCGTTGTAGTTAAGGGGTCTTTATTCACGGGGCAGATTTCTATAAATGGAATAGCTCGCGCCCTTGTAAAAAATTTTGTTTGGTTCTGTGCACCTCAAAGGAGTTTTTAACTTGAGCAAAACAAAGTTATTATTGTGATTTTTAAAATTTATAGCTGGAATGGTCAAACTTTTCTTATCCAGTGGCACTTCATTGACTGAAATTATTCGACGTGCTACTTCCATTTACAATTTGGACACCTATGGATAAGTACCTCTTCCCCTCCTTTCATTTCTATTAGATATATAATTTTGTTGTCAATAATTTTATGATAAAATGTATTATACAGAACAATATTGCAGTCCTTTTATTTAAAGCTAACCTTAACCTAAATTAATACGGGAAATAGAAAACTACCAGAAATTTATTTTATTCAACAGCTCACTGTTATTTATAGTTGTAAATAAATCGTAACTATACTTATGTATATGTTTAAAAAGAAAAACCGCGATTTTTAAAAATAGATCACAATATCGGGTTTTTTTCCAGATAAGCCTAGGATTTTGTTTCGACTGTGTCAGTTCCTCGAAGTTGAGATCTATTTGTGACCGTTTAAGAAAAATGAGGTTTTTCAGTTCATCGGTTAATACTGCGAGTAAAAGTGTCTGCTCACGAATAGGACTTGAGCCAATTCTAAAAAGATAGCGGAGTGCCTTGACTGGATAGTTACTAATATTTGTTTAGTTTTTGCGTATTGCGGTTTGATTTTGTAACTCTTTTACTTAAAGGGGGCCACTGCGCAGATGAAAAAGAAAATATTTTGTAAAAAGTTGCACATACTTAACATCCTCTTTTTTTAAAAAGTCGATAAACCTTTCCACTAACGACTGTTTCAAGACTGGAACTTGCTTTCTACACTTTGTGGAGTCTTAGTTTATTGCGGTCTTCCATGTTCTCACAATTAAGAGATATGGTGCAGTTCACCTTTATCCATCTTCCTCCTAAAAAGTGTCATTTTAAAAATAATTATTGATTTCAACTGAACACTCAAAGTTTATTTTTTTTTCGCAAGCGCTGCTTTTAAAAACTTAGGGATTCACAATATCTGTCACAAAAGTTACTTTTTTACAAAGTCTTTATTCCATATAGGTGAGAATTCATCGAAGAGTTGATCCATTCTCCTTTATATGTACCAAAACTAATTTTATGAAATTTTAAAATCTTTCGATAATTTATCCAAGAGAAAGGCAAGGAACACTGCGAGGCAGTAATAATTCACGCCATTTTTTTTCAATTCATTTGAAAGGAAAAACATGCGACTTCTCCTCAGTGAAAAGCCTTGTGCATCGTATCCCGAAGAATCCAATACCTAATTTTTTTTGAATGTTTGGATCTGCTACCCTCGCCTTTAACAAAAGATTAGAGTTGGGGTCTCATAATTTTCTTCAGCTGTAGAATAAGTTTTTTTTACCTAACGAGAAATGAATTTATAAGAGACCCTCTGACAGGGTTTCTTGCTAGCCCTTTTAAAGATTGTTTGCAGATTAGACAAGGTTTTATACATTTATATTTTTGCTACTCAACTAAGAGTTAATGAAAAATTCATGTTAAAATTAGAACACATTTTATTAACATACCGCATTAAATTAAAATTTTTGGCATGGCTAAACAAACATAAAAATTGAGATAAAACAGTTAAGAGTCAAGGATTGTTGCTTTCATTCGATATTGATTCCAGAAGAGCGATATCGTCGTACTTTTTTCAGTCAAAATAGACGACTTAATCAAAACTCATTGTAATAACAAACTAGTGTACTGCTAAGTATTTGTTAATGCTTTAGACGCTTTAGTTAATGATAACAATATCAAACTTTATGTTTTATAGGAAGGTATGCCTTAGATGGCTTTTAGCAAAAGCCCTAGTGCCTACTAAAAAGATAGTTTCTAAGCCAAGGAAATTTCTAACAGTTTGATGGGGGCAACACAGTATTTTCCTAATTATACTTAGTTATATTTTTCTTTTAACCATTTGTTTTCCAAAGTAATTAGTGTAGCCACCTCCGGACTTTCAAACGGAGCTTTTACGCTACTCCGGCACTACTTATTAGGGCGAAAACTTTACTGTTTAGGCCCCTATACGGGACGGGTCTCAGGGTCTGTTGGAGGGTTTCTCGAGGTTTAAGATGGTGGTGCTGACTTAGAGAAGCCTAACTTCACTGGGAAGGGTCACACGGACTATAAGCAGCAGACAGAAATAGTAGCCTCCCATGGTGCCAGAAAAAAAATCTCTAAATTTTAGTTGCGAGTATTACAGCCAGGCCTTTTATATGCTTAATTTTGGTCACTATGAGACGCTCCAGGTCCAACATGGGTTGTATATATATTTTTAGTCGAAATCAAACGCGCGAGGCTACCTTGTATAGGATATCTGAAAATAAATATGAATAGTTTTATAGTTGCCTTATGTAAATAAATTATTGAACTGATATTTTCTTTACATAATCACTTCGTTAAATTATTTTCAGTATTTCATTAGCACCCTCCCTGAACCGAGTGATTGAAGTCTTTACATTTCTTGAGAGTCTCTACAAAGGCTTACGTTATGACTCTTATGATTTCAACCAGAGATATACTACAAGTTTTTCCCATGGGAGAGCAGAGCATAAGAAAAACTGTTAATTAGTTGTTGCTTACAGGTTAAGGCTTGAAAAAAGAAAATATATTATTGATAAATTTCACCGAGGCAAAGTTATGACTTGGCATTAGGTAAACAGGTGGAAGAGTTCAGTATTACAACGACTACCTGATCGAATCTTTAAAAGCTTAAGACTACCAAAAATAAATTATCACTTTTATTTCCCAAATTTTCACTTTCTGTTTTTAAATGTAACATAGGATTTATTAAACTAGAGAATATAACCATAAGTATTTCAACTATAACTTTAATTTTTATTAAAATGTTCATTTTTTAAGCCTGAAAACTTTAGGGAAAGAAAAGACAAATTATTCTTATTTTTTTTACTCTTAACCATATGTATTGCTCGTGAAATAATAATGTTTTGACTACACTTGCACACAGTGTAAAGAATTTCTTTTAAAAGAAGTTTTCTGTAGTAACTGGAAAAAAAAACAGTTGTTGACAAAAAACTTTAATTGTTTACCGAAAAAGGTAGAAATTTCATCGTTTCAGCTTTTGATTTTAAATTACTAGTTTTTTTTTTAATTTAAACTATTAAACTTTCTACTAATATAGTAAGTTAACTGTCGTCTTTAATTTATTTTAACAGTCTAGAGCTTGATTTAAGTTTTTACTTCACAAACCTTTAAGCTATTTGCTGTTAGTGGCCTGTATAATCATTTTTTTAAAAGATCTCTTTGATCATATATAACTTTTCGTACATTGTAAACTATATAAAAAAATTGAATATTATAATTCAGAGTGGTCTAGCCGCTACAAAAGTGCAAACTAGTTAAAAGAAGTAATAACTACTTCAAAATTTATAAATTATCTTCGGTCTCAATATGGTGGATGCTTCCCTCCAACAGTACGTTATCATTATGTGCCATAGAAAAAAAGAGGCTGAGAAATTTGGGGGTTCCGCTTTCCTCGAGAAATCTTGAAATGGAAATGGTGACCTCGTTAGGTAAAAATGCAGGTCTCTTGAAGAAAACTTCTACTTTATATGGAAACTTAAAAGTATTGTCTTTGATATTTAAGTCTGTGGCAAGTTTCTGACACTCGTTTATACCTAAAAAAAAAAATTAATAAAGGCATACGAAGAAATTAAACAATTACTTCAACAATAAAAAAAAAAAAAAGTAAAAGCTAGCTCAAAAAATACTATATTTTATAAATACAAACAGAAAAAATATACGTGGACATAGTTAAATACATTGACGTGGCTAGGGTTTACAAAGCAGTTTTTTATTATATGCTAATTCTAAGTCTTTGAAAGGAAAGCACTCAGTAAATAATTCTACGGTAGATAACGAGTTAATCATACAAAGTGCAGCAGTATAAAGCCCGTGAGCAACGTGGGATTTAAAACCAAATAGTTTTGCTAAAAACGGATGGAGATGAATGGGGTTATAGTCCCCCGAAATAGCGGCATACTTTCTCCCAATGTCCGATGATAGAAATATCTGAAAAGAATAGAAAACAGAAGGAAGAAGATAATATATTCAATAACGTGCAGAAATATCAATAAGTAAACATGTTTGATAAAAACAAGTAAAAGAAATTTTAGTAATAATAATAAAACTTTTATAAAATTAATTAACAATTGTGGAAAAAAAGCAGTATAACCTTGGCTTTAACAAAAATACAAGGTAAAATAACGAAACAAGTTAATAAAACAAAAATCAACTTAAATTTTTAAAAAATAAGACTACGCATAACTACATAAATCTAATTATTTTTTTAAGTTTTGAAAAAATAAACCAAAGAAAAGGCAAAAATTAGAATAAAGGGAAAGAAATTATAATTTACTGTGTGCTATCTATTAGATCCTAATAATTTTTCTAAAAATTCTGTTACCTTTTTACTCGCCACATGATTGAAAGATATTTCTGAACACTTCTCAGAGCTCAATATAAAATAAAAAGTTTTTTTAATTATTACTATTATGTAAATAACTTATATCTATTGTAGGTACAATAGTTAAGTTAACAAAATATAATTAACTAAAAAACTTAAAATTATTATAAATAAGGTTTTATTACTAACAAAATTAAAAATTAAAAACTCAAGGTATATGGACATACATATATAAGGAAGTAAATATAACATAAGTACAACTAGTTTCATAAAAATTGAAAATAAAGAGACGCTTGAAACTTTCAACCAACAAAAATATTAGAAAACTGAAAACAAAAAATTTAGTAAGGCCGCCTTCAACTTTCTTACGAATCTCCTTAATTTTTAATTTGTAATAAAGGAAAAAACTTGAGCTCATAAAGGTTTTAACATGAAGCTTACGGTATTTTTTAAAAAAAAACTTTAAAAAATTAATTATAAAGGAATCAGTCGTTTTTATTTAAATTAAATGTAACACAACTCTACCACGTAACCATTTTAAGGTGCTTTTAAAAAAATTATCATAAAGTTTTTTACAATTAATGAAAAGAACAGCGTTCTTAAAGGTCTTAGAGGATTATGAAACGGAAAAGGGAGTGATTTCTATAACTTATTTGATAAATAATGTTACCTCCTTCAGGCTGTTAACTCATTCTTTTAAATAAAAATCAACCAGCTAAAAACTAATTTTTTTAATATTAAATAACTTATGATCTTTAGTAAGTAAAATATGTTTCTACAGTAAACAATTCTTTCACAAAATTCTTTTTTCAAATTAAGTTTGGTAAAGAAATGATTTAAAAGTTCTTTAATAATACACAATTTAGAAGCAGTTTTAATCCATTCCCTCTTGTAAAGATCGGTCTATGTAGTATTTTCAATATATTAAATTGTACAAAATCATTGCTTTATTAAGCAAAAATAAATTCCTTATGGAGTTAAAAAGCTTTGCCTACTCTTAAATTACGTAAAATCCCTTAAACGTGTTGAGTACACAAGAGATTTTTTGAATATTTATATGTATAAAAAAAAGTAAATACTATTTTACACGTAAAATATATAATTATATAAAAACCGACTTAAATTTTTTCTTTTTCTGTTCTGATTTTGGTATATCGCCAAAAAAGTACAAAAAGCGGACCAAACTAAGACGTTTCGTTTGTCATAAGCACATATTTTTAAATCAAATTCAATGCCTCGCGAAACTCTTCTAATTTCAGTGTCTGCTGTCTAAAGTGGTAGTATAAAATTACACTCTAGTCTTTAAAAAACCTTATCTTATCACCTTCGTTTCAACCAGGAGTTTTTCGTTAAAACTTAAAGACTTATACTGGACAACTTGATTTCGCACGTGAATTAAACCGGGAACGGAGAATGGAAACTTAATAAAACTAAATTATAAAAAAGTAATCTAAATAAAATAATATGTACCTCTTTATCGAGAAAAACCTTTAATCCGGTTGTCGATAAAGCTAAAGCTTATTAATAATAAAAACATTTTTAGTTTTCAATATTATTATTAAATTAAAAATAATTTATACGAAACCTTCAATATAGAGAACAGGAATTTGTCCAAAATACTCATCAATTATATAATCTATAATTTTGGTGTAACGACAAAAGTTTTCAACGTCAAAATAAATATGTTCTTGATATTTTATAGTTGGCAACAGTCTATAATTTTCTAAAAAAGAAGTCCCATTACAGGATTTAGTTAAGCAAGATTAATAAACCTGAAAGCCTTCGCTTTTTAAAAAAAGATTTTATTACTATCGTTAAATATAATAGAATGACGTAAAAAAACTTTAAAATACTGGCACAACTACGCTTACGACAACCAAAACTAGCCAAAAACATTTCACAGTTGCCCCTAAGAAAAAATTAAATTTTCTGACTCCATATAAACTACCAAGAAAGCCCTCGAAGAGGGGTTTCTAAATAAACTAAAATTGCAAGAGACTAACAAACGTAAACAAAATTTTAAATATATCGATTTTGGGTTTCTAAATTTTAGGTATCCTGTAGATTTAATATCTAAGGTTCTGGTACTAAAGGTTATGTCACTAACTTAATTAAATAGCGCTCTTCTACTACAAAGAACACCTTCAAGAAAATACTCCTGTAATTAGTAGTCCTTACGTCCGTTTACTACAAAAATTAGTTTGAAAATTTATATCAACACCTATGTCATTTTACATCATTACATATTTAAACTACTTAGTAAATTTTTGAACTTACCAAGAAGTTAAAAACCATTACTAGCGTAACAGCGAAACCATTTAAAATTTCAAGTTATCAAATCCTGTTTAAGACGGATAGAAAGGAAACTCCATATTTAAATTTTATGCCTTTAAATGCTCATTTCATCTCTTAATCGGCTTCAGCGTTCGTTTTAAATAATTTGTAAATATAGCCTTCCTTCTATTAATCGTATAGCATTTTCCATCAACGCTAAAAAGTGGTTTTTCTACTTTGAGTAAGTAGGGCTATAATTCTTTTAAGCATCATAATTTAATGTTAGATCCCTATTCCGCTATCAAAGACCGAGAAAGAAAGTTGCGCCGGTGGGAATCGGAACCCGCGAAATTGAGTTTATGTCATTACTCTCAAGCACTGAGCGAGGGCGGTAACTCCTAATATTAACTTGACAGGCTGTGTGTACTAACCTATTTAAACAGCCCCAAGAAAGGTCTCCATTAATTTCTACTATTTTACCCCATACAAAAGCTTTGAATTTAACAAAGACAAAATATAACCTTTTGGGTTTACAAATTTTGAGCAAATTAGGTTGAAAACGTTACATGCTCATTACTCATTACTAAGAATTCATAAATTGTTAAAATTCAAGTTGGGGGAGGGGAGCTGGTACTTTTAAAGAAAATTTAATAGGCGCTTTTCAGTACATTTTTGTAGTAAAAAAGTTGAGACTATGTATGAAAACCTTAAATTTAAATATAAATTTATATTAATTATATAAGGGTTAAATGTAAGTTCAAAAATGGGACAGCCAGCAGTATACAGTACTGGAGTTACTTAAACACCCCTTTTTATTGGAGGCCTTCTGAATTCTGACTAGGTAACTTATAACTTGTTATTGCTAGTTTACAAATACTGCAAAAAATAGGCTAGTATCTTGTGTACGACACATTTAATAAAGGTAAAAAATATAAAAAATGGATGAGAGAGAAATGCTAGTCTTAAGTGATATTAATATTGTAGGTTTTTACTTTTTTGAGAATTAGTGTATTAAAATTAATAAATAGCTTATTTAAGAACTTCATTAACATATTGGTGGGCTGTAAAGACCTTTGGAGCACATTACCCTTTGGACAAACTACAATTTTAAAGAATCATAAAATAGCGCTTTGCATTTAACCTCTTTTTACAATGGGGCGCTGTACCCTTATAAATTCGACCCTTTTGAGCATATACGGTCTTTTCATCTTATCAAAGTTATTATGTATTATGTTTTCCAGCCAAACTTGAATTAATAAGTTAACTGCAAAGATATTAGACTGAGCTTATAAGTCCATCCAGTAACTCGTATCTCGTAACCTAAAGAATTTTTCCAACGCACCACTCCCTAAAAGTGGCGATAGTCAGTTGTAAAATTTTAATACTTGCTCTTTTTTAATCTTAGTAAGGTTCAACTTTGTTATACAATTCGCTAAAATACATCATATCACCCAATTTTGTAAAGTTTCAGGCTTATATAAAACCTTAGGCTTCAATTTAAAATTATTTTATAAAGCTTATATTACAATTTTTCTTAATGAATGGAAACAGTCAGTTTTCACTAAGCATCTTTAAATTTTAAGCTATCACCTACTTTGACTTCCTTAGAGTTTATAATATTTTTTCTCTTGGTATCCTTTATTGTCATTCATATATTAATTTTTTTTTAGATTATTGGGCGCAGTTATTGTAGTTATTTTCTTATTTCCCTTAATAATCTTATTCGAAACTATTGAGCTTCCAAGGGTTATATTACGCAATAAACTTATAACGTTAGGCAGCCTGTTAAAAGACAATATATCTACTCATCCACAACTTCAGTTCATTCTAATTTTTTTTGTGAAGCTTTTTTAATAGTTCGTATGACTCTTTTTTTCTTTGCCATGGGCGATTGACGGTAACAAGTAGTTCTGAACAGTATATTGGTGAAATAAATTGGACTTTTTATAACTAAATTTTCAACAAATATTAATTCCGTTGGCCTTTGCCAACGTAACATTTTTATAACCAGCCTCGGTAATCCTAGCCCTTCTAGTAGTTAATTTGTAAAGAGAATAAAAGTCCATGGTTTTTCATCGATACAAACTTAATAGTTTGACTCAAAGGGTTTATAAGGAGGGGAATGACCTTAAGAATTTAGTTAATTGTAATTTTAATGCAAATTAACGGAGGTTTTATATAGTAAGTTGAAAGGTTAGGTATTTGTGTTCCGGTGTGAATACCTCTTGTTGTTAAGCCTTTGCTTACATGGTTAAAATTCAGAATGATCTTTATACAGATAAGCTACTGCTAAATCACTACATCCTATAAATGTAGATAATTTGGCTTAAATTTTTACATAATGCAAGCAGTTATTCCTTCCTTTTTTATATCCATATATATTACTGAAAAGTTATCTTACATAACAAGTACGCTATGCTAGTCTGCTTTAGTCCAATAATATAATGTCATAAAGTCAATGAACAACCTATAAAAGAGTATAACAGGGGCCCCTAGTTATATGCGTAAGTAGATAATTGCGATATAGCTAATTTATAAGAAATATCCTTCATCACATCAACTACAATATTTAATAATGCAAAAGAAAGAAGATAAAAAACCTGGTGGAATTTCATTAAATTACTAAAAAAAAAAAGGGTATCATAATCACTTCCCACATGCGTCAAGTTACAACCGCCTCTCGGTCTAATAAAACTTATCGATAAAACTACTAGGCCTGACATTAGCATACACTATAACCCTACTTGAAGGATTTCTGGACAACGATAACAAAACACAGTTAGAACTGAGTAAAAAAATTATCTGTCTACTTAACTCAAACAACAGACTTAAGTTGGAAATTAAACGTTCCAACCCAGCTCGTATGATGATGGGGCATGTTATGCTCGTAAATGGAAGTCAAAATAGACAAAATTAGGTTAGGATAAAAATATTATCTCGTAATGTGGATTACGTGGCATTAAGCAAAGTAAGTTGATTATGTAACACAAATATTAGAAAATCTGCTAAACATATGCTTTCATATGGCAGTGAAGAACGCCTAACGAGGAGACGCCTCTTACAAAAGACTCCTACTCGTAAAAATTTCTGTCATCAAGTGAATAAAAATTACAAATGGGAAAATATGGCTAACATATTTAAAAAAACTATATTTATTTAAGAACAAAGGAAATCCCTCAACTCAAAATAAAACAGGACAGACACACCGAAATATGGTTATATTATGATAAAATTATGAACACAAACAAATTTAGAAACAACATAAACATGTGATAACCGCTCCCAAAATTAGTATCTGATGAAGAACCAATCAAAAACATTACAAATTAATTTTAATAAAAATAATATAAACATTTTCTTAAAAGGAAATAATTTAACCAAATATTTCTATATACAAATATGGCATTACAAATTTTAATTTTTCTATAAATGGTATCTTTAATAAATATGTTTATTTAAATTATTTAAAAATTAATTAAAAGAGAACATATCTAAAATTTTGAAGGAAGTGCACTATCGAAAAGTACATCAACCGGTTCGATTTGAAGTCAAAATTTTCAGGAACTTAATTAGTACCGCAGAGAAGGTTAACGATGTACTGCCCTTCTGTTCAGAAAAACGAAACGGACGTTGTACTGAAAAATTAGGATGCCCACTCGCTCCCGAATGAAGACTAAGCAATCGGCGCTCGAGGTTACTAAGTTATAGATGGGCATCGGATTAACTTATAAGTTACCGCTACCAAAGAAACCACGTGCACAAGGAAAATTATGTGTGTACGAGCCCTCATTGCCACACGACTATCCCTCTTTCTTGGTTTTGCCTTGGAATGAGTGTATGAATTGCTCTTTCGCCCTCAATAAAATATTTTTAAATCTTTTATTAGTCATCACTGTTTTAATTTTTACCAGGTGTAAATGTAAAAACAATATTAAAAATAAAGGAAATTTTTTATATGCTTTTGGTAAAGGTATATAGATGGCTTAACTGCTTTCCTTCAGTTCTCACCTTCTCTGGTTGGTATTGTGCTACTTCCTTGATCTAGGAAAGATTCTTATATTACTCCACTACTTTCACGTTACTTTTTTTTAGGCTTCAAGGATTTCATCTTCCAATTCTGTGTTTTCTTTTTTACATGGCTCATTATTTTAAATAATACTAACTATAGCTTACACTCATATCACTTATTCCTAACACATACTTTCGCTTGGGGCATTTTTTACTGAAACCTAGTTTCGGTTACCCCAAACTTAACATATATTGCTTAGCTACTGCAAAATATATACAACCGTCCTATGCATATGATTTTATATAAAAGACAGGTTTTGTTTAATTTACTTATGACGTTCGATATTTCAAATTTAAATTTACTAAAAATTTTAAATTAGTTAATCAGTAGTGCGATTGTAATACAAAACCTACTACTGTAATAAGCACCTTGTTCAGACTTTAAAAAAAATTTTTTTTTATTTCGTTAGACCAGTAAAAATACTTAAGTTACAATTCTTAAATCTTCTTCATCTATCTACTTTACCATTATATATATTTGTTCTCTCTTCAAAGTTACTGACTTTCATACCTCACTGACCTTCCATATCCACATATATTCTTTTAAATGGGCCAAAGCGTTAATTTGCGAACTTTGAGAGCAAGTATATTGTAATAATAATTATATAATATAGGTTATGTTTTTGATTATTTAAACCCGCTGTGAGCACGGCACCCCCTATAAAACTAACAAACTAAATTTAAAAGTCCAAAAAATGGCGCCGTGCTTTTAAAGTTAAACCTTCACAAGTAGAGAGATCCTCATAGGTGGGATTAAAATATAAGTGGAGAAAAGGCAAAACCTTTTTATGGCCGAGCGCTTTGCCTTCTCGTAGAAAGCTAAAGATAATAATTAGTTTATCGATAGTAAACCTTTATGATGGCTATATTTGTTAAACCACAACGTGAAGTGTTTACAGAAGAGGACTTGAAGTACTTTCAAAAATCCAACTGTCACAAGGAATTTTCTAAATTTGTAGAATCACTTAGTTGGAGCGTAAAAGACAAAAGAATTACGGAAGTTATTTCTGAATCTCAGGTGCGGTTTTGAAATTTATTTTCATATAAAACTTCACGTAGTTTTAGTGCGTTATAAAGAGAGATAAATTGGAGATGGAGTCTTTTTTACTTATTAAAATTTTCTTTATATATTACACTTTTAATTTAAATTTGACTAAGTAAATTATGTATTACTAAAAAACTTATTAAGTTAATCCAAAAACTTGTTCAAATTCTTATTGAACTCGAGAGTCTTGTTAGTTGCTTTCCTCCAAAAGAAATGACTACCCGTTATGGTAATCCTGTTTTTAAGGATTGGCATAGTGAAGTAAAAAAGGTTATTTTATTATTTTAATAGTTACTTTACAGAATATACTATAAAATTGTAGAGGCATCACGGTTGGCTTGAAGCTATTCTTCCTTCACCCGATGCCGTTATAGAATTTTCGGGTCTCACCTTGAAAAGACTTAATTTTTCATTGCATTTCTTTAAAATTTACTCTTTATTTCTTAAACAAGAATATTTTCTTAATTCCTGGGGTAACCCGTTACGAATGGACTACGGGACTGGCCATGAAGCTAATTTTATCGCTTTTTTGTAATATTTTTTGTAGTTGTGACCACCCTTATAACTATGCCGCCTTATTTTTTTTTAAATATATCATTCTTCTCACGGAATCCAATAATATATTCATTGGGATCTTTGATTTGACTAATGAGAAATATTTGTGTAGTTATGCTTTACTGTCAATATTGCTTATTTTAGAAAAGTTTAACTACCCACACTATTGTGGGCGACTTACTTTCCTTCGGGAGGGAGTTTTTGCTGAACTCTAACAACCATTGGAAATTAATACTTACACCCATAACACTTGTGTTTTTAGTCAAGTGCTTAAGGAGATGTTTAAAGAATTATATAAGGAGTAATTTATATGAAAAATGTGTAATTATTTATCGACATAAAGGATCTTAACAGTGGTCGGTGGCCGCTCTTCTATTTGCTGGTGTGCTTCTTTGTATATGTGGCCGACAGTTTACTTATTACTGTCGATGTGCAATTTATTTCGGATGAACTAATACTTAAATAAATTAAAAACCGGTTTTTTAGCTGCTTCAGACCGATGCAATGTTGTCCAAAAGAGGCAATTGGGCGTTAAAGAGAAAGCTAGTGCAATTGTTTTTTAAAACTGTAGCGCACAAGCGAAAGGAATATTAGAATGGTGGACTCATTATTACTAAATAACTCCTTAAAACTTATTCAATTTTTGTACGGGTTAATTGTGGGTACCAGTACTATGAGCAATGTAATAAGGGTGATTGCAATTTGAAACAATGTTACAAAATCTAATATATGCTCAATATTATGTAATCACGAAGATATATTTTTATACTACGACACTCATATTGATATATCTGCTATACGTATTGTTATTTAAAGCAATAATGTATAATATTTATCTGTAAGGATTTATAGAAAGTTATAATATTTATTAATATATATAAGTGTTACGTTAATAAAAAATAGTTTATTGTATTTATAATTGTATATCTCGGTAACTTATGATTAACTTTACAGGTTTTGTTTTTACAAACTCAAACTTATTACCGAGGAAGATTTTACTGCGGTAGTTCTACGAGTGTTTATCAAGTACTAAGTATCTAGTTCCTATTAATCTACTATTTTTATTGTTAATGTGATAAAAAATTACTTAATTACTTTTTCTACCCTTCACACATTTAGTAATTATTTATGGAGTTGCATTTTCCCTTTTACGTTTGCCTAAATTGGATTGTTGTTACTTAATAAGTAATTAGTCAACTTTATGTTTTTTTTGGGGAAGCTCTATATTTTTCTCAGTTTAATTAACTTTTCCTCTTACTCTTGGCCAAATTGGGTTACTACGGGTCCATGTAGGTAGTGAAACATGTTTAACCATACTGACTTTTGTAGAGTTGAGTTTAAGAGCATCACGATAATTATAATTTTCTTTTTATTATAATCGTCCTTAACATATTATTTTAATTGCGAAAAAAATAGATGGACACCCTTTTATACCCTTATGATTCCCCACCCAATTTTATCTTTATTTTGACTCGGCAGATATATAAAATTAATGTTTCTTCTCCAACAAACTTATTGGTTGGAACCTGCCGGATCCCATGGCGTGTGGGGCTTGGACGACTACCATTTTCTGCCTTTCTACTTTGGAGCCGCGCAGTTAATAAGTACCTACATGTAATAGGGTTTGACAGGGTGGCGATAATTGTTTTACTTAAAGCAACCCGGTTTGGTCACATTTTGGTTTGGGCTAAATATAATATAAACATATTTAACTACTAGTTCGTGTAGAATTTTAAAAATAAACATGAGAAGCGGCCGGTATGTACATTTCCAAGAGCTTGTGGGTTCAATTATCAGTTATTTTCTTTATTTCTGGCAGGAGTATCTTAATTAGTATTATGTATATTTCTTCATTTAGTTATTTTGTATTGTTTATTAGATTTATCGCTTGGTGTTAATAATATTAGAATATATAATAAAGCACACATGCAAAACTACTTTTTATCCTAGCTTAGAAATGAAATTAAATAACATACGTAGTAATAATCCTTAACATTACATCAAATATTTCCTATGAATATATTAAAACGAGAATTTTTTTTTATAAATTTACTCCATTATTTTCTGAGATTAAATTAACTATTAAAAGAGCATTAATATGTCAAAGTTTTATCACGTTTTAATTTTTTTTTCTTTTCAAATTAAAATACCTTTCTTTATTATTGCTCCTGTTGTTTACCGCCTACCAAGAATTTTAAGCAGAATTTGAGTTGACCTGCTGAATATTATAACAATTTCATGATGTCACATTAATTTGATTATCATGTAGATCATAAATATCTTCGACCGAAAAGTATACATTCCGCTGATTATATTGAACAGTTCTCTTCTGATTACATATATTTTCAGTGTATCGAAAACATTAATAAGGTCTACTATTTAATTATCTTAATGCGATCGCTCTTGTGTTTACCGTAAATATTGCCTAACTTTTAAAATCTTTTTTATTACTCCTCAAATTAACATGTAAGAAACATTAAAGTTGCTACGTCTCATTTTTTACTGTCAATTCCAAAAGGTAAACGCATAAGTTTATAACTTCGTGTGTTTAGGTGAAAACGGAATCTCTTCATTGGCACTCTCCGCTGCTTAACGATATAAGCGGCGTGAAGACTTGGGCTAAAGTACATTCCGGTCTTCTAAAAATGTACAAAGCCGAAGTTCTTGGTTGTCTTTATTACTTTTCAGACTCTTTTATTTATAAATAATAAACAATGCTTTTATTGCTTTAAAAACGTTTCAAAAATATTCATATTGTTTGAAAGAAATTTTAAAGTTATTGTATCAGCAAATTTTAGGGAATCAACCCTTTTTAGTATTTAAGAACTTTGATTATGAGTGTTCTTTCTTTACTTATCGTAAAAATAAAGTTTGTAAGTTCTAATGTTTTATTAGGTAAGCTCCCTATTATGCAGCACTTTTTGTTTGGATCGCTTCTCAAATTTCATTCACCTTCGCCACGCACTTTGTCTCAAGAAGAGAAAGAAAGCATTATCAACCAAGAACATCACCATTCATGCTGTATGCTTTTATTTCATGTTTGGCTTTTTAAGTTCTTTGACATGTTTTTAGTATATATTTTTTTATTGCTTGATATTAGTGCTTACTCTCCCAAATAAAGGGGACTTTACAATTATAAATTATAATATATTTTTATGCTGCAGGTGTTTCCCATGTTCCCTCCTCTGCAGCTGTTAAGGCCGCTAACCAACGAGTGCGTTCTAATTATATCCCATTTGATTGAATTTTATTAAACCTGATTACTTTGATTATAAAGTTTTGCTGGTCAAAAGCTTTTTTTTGGACTTAATTCATGGATTTTACTTAGTTTTAATTTAATATTTTAAAGGAGATGCGTTTATTTTATGGAACTTATGATAAAGTGAACATTTTCCTATTACGTCAACTATTTTTATAGAAGATGTAAACGAACATAAAAGGCCCTTGTCCCGTAGTAAACAACATCTCAAGACTTGTAAAAATATAGCCAGTCAATTAGGTCTTAACCCTGATACACTACAATGTTAACTACTACCCTAAAAATTAACCCTGAAAACTGCTGATGGAATCTGAAGTTGAGTAATGTTTAGTAAACACATGTTAATAAGTTTAAGTTTATGTCTCGTGCAAGTACTTCGACCGTTAGTTATACATTTTGGTGAGCGAAAACCCAATATAACTTACGAACTCTACTTCACTCACCTTGCCACTTAGAAGAGACATGGATTTATTCTCCCAGCCATTACTTAGTTGTGCTAGTTTTAAGCAAGCTCCCTATTTAGCGAGTGCCGGTTTTAAAAAGTCATTGACTTCACGTTTGGACGCAAATCTTCTGAACATGTTCTTAAATATTATGATAACTGGCATTAAAACTACTATTAGAAAAGTTACAGCTACTAAAAACTTATGATAATATCTTATTGATGAAAAGAAAATAAGATACGCTCATACATATGAGTACGAAGAAAACTTTGCTTAAATGCCTATCTCCCATGACTTAAAATAAAGTTTTCGGATAGGCTGTTCTTCGGTAGTGTCTTTAGGAGTTGAATTTCTTTAAAGTATTATATTAAACTTACTAAAAATACTTTAACTTAAATTAATGACATCAAGCCTGTTATTTGTAACTACGCGGCAAAGAGACTGCCCGTGTATAGTCAACTTTAAAATTTATTTATTTTAAATGGGGAAATTTTATTAAAGAAAAAGAAATTACACCCTTCGGGGGAGTAAAGAGATAAAATTAGGTAACAGGACACTACTAAGCATGCAGCATATAATCTTGTCACGTTTTTTGTTACGTACTAGGGATCTATGCACATCAATTCAGCTACCTTAGGTTCTTTAAATTAAAAAAAAATATATTAAAAGACATTTAACCGCATCTTATTAAGTGTTAATAAAATGTTATACAATGCAGTGTTATTTAATACGTAAACTTTTAGTTAAAAAGCTTGAGCACACTGTAGCTTTTGAATTAAACATATGTTTACAATATAGAAACTATCATAATTTTGAAGATTTACCCACTACGTTATTATTTTATTACTAATGCATATTACAACTAAAATGAATTATTAATTGTTAGAACTCGCTTTTAAATTAAGTGATTTCTTATTCTGTTAAAGTGGACGCTCATTTTTTGGTGCGGTAAGAATTTTAATAGAGTAAGAGTCCAATACTTCGATACGAGTCACCCCACCCCCACAAAGTTTGATTAGTACTAAATAGAGGTATAAATGAATTGATAGTTATTATTAATAAAGTGAAAGTGAAAGCTATAATGAAATCATTTAACAAGGTAAAGAAAAGGTGAGCCCTTATTAAATGGTTCCCTGCCCCGTTTATTGATAGGCGTCCACTTTTTGACTTGGAAGAATACTATTGATAAACATCCAGCGAGGGTAATACAAAGCGAATCAATAGTGTTATGTTCCGGTAGGGAGAGAAGACTTAACTGAGGGATCCAAAAGCGAATTTTAAGTTCCCGAAACCTATGACTAGGTTATAATTTATTAATTACTCAATTCCTGTGAAGCGCTTCAATTTAAGTAATTCAATAAATATTGGGTTTGTCCAAATCCACCATCTCCTTGATTCGATAAATATAGTTGAGTTCCTGGCATCAAGTAAAGTAGAGATGGTTCTGAGTCACCTTTTCGAAAATGACGCATTTCTGTACTAACCAATTTCTTAAGGGATACGTCTTTAAGCATCCTGGGCGCGCAGTGCAAACATAAAGAGAGGATTGTTCACGTCGAGAAACTTATTTATAGAAGTAGCTGCTTCCGACTTATGAGGCAGCGCCTCAGCTTTGGTGGTAAGCCACTACCATGAATTCAGGGGCACCTGACCTTGGGATAAGTTTGGGTAAAGAGCAGTGGTTGAAAAAAACGATATTCCAGGGCCATGTGAAAAAGGCGACAATGCGCTTGCAATCTATACCGCACTATCAATGCTAGCTAAAGATGAGATTAGTCAAGTTGGTTCTATTCCCCATAGGCACATATGGAGCGGAGTTTTGGGGCAAGTCTAACTAATTGTATAAAGTAGAAAGCCGTTGACAGAATGCGTAGCGTAATAATTAGGTGTTTTCGATTAACGCAGCATATATTACTAGGCGAGGGTTAAAGACGTGTCTCTTGTAGCTGCTATTTATTGTGATTGTATTAAAACCTGGAATAGTATTTGGTTAAGCAAAAGAAGACTTTGCATAGCAACTTGTGTGACTGGGTGCGGCCGATGGCTTGCTCCAGCTACGCCAAGCAAAGGAAAGGCAGCTAGCATATGTTAGGCACCGTCTAGAGAGGAAAAACTGATAATATAGTGAATGACAAGTGTGTCAGAAAGGCACATCTCCGCAGATTTAGGTGGAGTCGCCTAAAAATCGTTCAACCCCGGTATACTAGAGTTTTGCTTGACATTAGGGCAGCTATGAATAAAAGCGTTTTAACGCGAGACCTGCAGGGCTTTTGTTAGCGAGTGCACCCGTTGGAAACATGCTCAGTGCCGATAGATGAGTCCGACGATCAAACTGATGCTCCAGATACCACTATTCAAATTTCAAGTCGGCACCTGAGTGCTTCTTAAAAAAGTATGTTTGGCGAAAGTGAGAAGGCAGCACCTAAAAGGGAACTTCTACTCGCTTTTAACAGGTTATTAATTTAAACGATGAGTACTTTAGTTTTGCGACCGCTCCTCGTATCCTCTTTAACTGGAAGTTCTAGGGGAATGGTGACAATCTAAGTAGGGAGTTAGCTTGCATCACCTGCACTACCTATTAGAATAAAAATATCGCTGTTTAGGTCCCTACTAAGGGTGGGCCCTTGGACCAATCTAAAGGGTTGAACTGGAGTTGCTGGCCTTGAGGAGCTTATTTTACTAGGAAATGTCAAAGGAGTTATAAGCAGCCTTATAAGTTTTTGCCTTCCATGGTGCAGAGAAAATACCCTAAAGATTCTGTTTAAAAAAGAATTGATCGAACAAAAGTCGTAACTGATTCTAAAATGAATATACTCCAAGTCGAATCACTATAACTTTTTCATTTCCTTACTTAAATCGTAATGTATGGTAGGGTAAGTTTATAATTTAATTATAAAATTTAACCTCAAATGTGTAAAGCAAGGTCAAACTTTAGTAATAATAATATAGTTAACTAGTCAATTTCTCAAAAGGGTGAGGGAGGCAGGGCCTGCAGTAGCGATATAACATTTCGAAGAGAATCTAGTGCTTTTCAGTAGTTACTTTTTATAACAGTTCAAAGATGTACTGATAAAATAAAAATTTAAGCAGATACAAAACACAAATGAAACAAAAGTAAAAATTAAAAATTGCCAACTATAGAATGACCTCAGCAAACTAATTTTTATTACAAAAATAAGGAAGCTCATTGGACAAGACCTCGAAGTTCATTGGTCGACAGTATCTGAAATTTTAGTGTATAAAGAGAGGAGTAATTTACTAATAAATTGGCTTAGCAATTCTTGTTTTAATATTGTTAAGTACTCTCTGTCGCTACGTTGCCATAAAAACCTAGTATAAAGGTTGTTAAGGTCGTAGGGCTAGGATAAAAGGCTGTCACAAAAGGCGTGAGTTTCTTATCTAACAAGCAAACACATAAATCCAAACACCGGAATTGAGTGTCCTCGTTGTAGCTTAGTAGTCAAGAATTTTGTACTAGAACTAGTGAAATTATTTATACTAAGCTCTCTATGGTCAGTAACGGTTCTAAATATTATATGTTCTGGAGCCATTACATAAACTTAAAAACAAAACAACAAAATAAGGTGTCAAGTAACGGAGTACAATTTCTAAACCATTTTACACAACATATACACAAAGATTACGATTACCCAGAATTTAACGAATATTTTCTACCTGTAAACCTTTTATATTAAGCCACCCGGTCACTATCGTTGAAGCCATTGGGCTTTAATCTCGAAGTTTATTAATGCAGTACTATGAATATTTTGTTTTGACCAGGTTTCCTAGGAGGCCATATTTAGTGGTTATTTTAACGGAACTTAGGAGAGCGAGTTAAATACGCCTCCCCATCAAATACCGAAGAGAGAGTTGCATTGGTGGAAAGTCGAAACCAAGACCTTTGGTGTAGGCATCAATGCTCTAACTGCTGAGCTACGACCATAGCTCCCGACCCCAATATGATAAATTTACGTAATGAACTTGTTTATGTGAACGGCCACGTAGGAGGGTAAACACTATCACACAAAGCGTAGTCGTTTGTATGCGCAATAAATATAGTATATCTTAAAATAACCGCACAACTTCGCTTTAGTAACCGATTATATCTAAAAGTTGTTACTAATAAATTAGTGGCCACTAATTTTAATAAAGAAAAATTACAAAAGCGATATCTATTAACTGTCACTTTAGCACAGATTGTATTAGAATGCTCGCGAACAAGGTTAAAACGCAGCCATCAAAAAACCGAGGAAGAGAGTCGCGTAGGGCTGCAACCCTGAGTTTCTGCGTTGATGCTCTTAACCGAGTTACGGCGACAGCACACTATCTCCGTATTATAGTTACTTATTTTTAACCTGTTAGATTGTAGCTCATATTTTACACTCTTACATGAAATAGTAATTCAGGTTCGCATAGTTTTACTTGCCTTGCTCGTAATTTTTTTTTTACTAAATTACACAATACTTTACATAACTACGACTGGTGCGATCTTCAACAATTGTTACAGTTTTAAATAGTATTTTTATTTAGATGAGTAATATTTATGCTACTTAGAAATAAACGGTTATATATCGAATCGGACTGTCGTCGAGTCTACGGTACTCAAAATAAAATGAAAAATGAAAGGAGTGACAATATAACATATCAAAACTGTATAAAAAACGTATACGAAGAAGTATATTAAATCAAGGATGCTTTTATTGAGCAGTTTTAGTCTATATTTATACCTTAACAAAAGATATTGAAAATACGATAATAGTTACAAATTCCTAAAATACGTGTATATAAATAAATAGCACACTTTATTTTATTTAGCTCGCACTATTTAAGTGTTTTAGCAAGTCTTGTACGCTGTAAATTCGCTAGCCCTTCTTCTATATTGCTTAGCCCCCTCCTTGTTGTTCCAATACATATAAATATCGGCGAACGGCAGTTTTAACTATTACTAAATCAAACTAACTTGCAAAGTTTATTTGTTTGTTTCTATATAAAGCGTACAATATTTTAAATAAATAATATACTATACTCAAAAAAATTGAAAAAGTTTAAGGAGGAATGTTAAGCTATTAGAAGCAACTCGCCCAAACTTAAGAAAAAAAGGAAACTGAATACCTTTTATAAGAGTTTTAACAATTGAAATAGGTGAATATTAGTAATAAAAGTTGAAGGTTTTAAGACTAGGAGCATCCAACTACGGCCGACGAGGGTTTCGCCCGTAGCACAGAATACGAGCAGAATCGGGCAAATTTTTAGGCAAGCAAGGCGGTAAACGACGAGCCACAAATAGTCTATACTAACCGCAGAAGTAGCCTGTGCGTGCACTGCCCCATCACCGCCACCGTTTTTCAGTGGAGTGGTAGTTAGAACATTTTATTAGTTTATAATCTGTACTAGAGTCTCTTGTAAAGCTTTGTTGGCTTGGGATGCCGCGTATCAGTTGGCTAACACAACAAAAAAGTAAAGGGGTAGTTTTTTTAATAAAGGTGTTATTCAAACTGCTTGCTGTCAAATTTGGACACATCAAGATAGGAGGTTAATACGGTGCGGTCGGCAAACTTTCTGCCGGCCGTCTTAGACTGTGCAATTTGGGCCTCTTCGATCGTTGAATATTTAATAAATACCTGTTTGTTTTAATTAAAAGTAATCATAAATGATTAAGAGAGTGGCTCTTTCAGCAGCTTAATTATACTTTTCCAAGGCCCTTGACCTCCGAGCCGTCCGTGGAAAGTCGGGGAATCTCTATGCCGAGTATGTTACCATATTTAGCGCACTCTTCGCGTATATCCTCTTTAAGGTCTACCAATACCAACTGTAACTAAACAAATAGCAGCGAAAGCGTGAAACAACTCCAACCGTCATATTCTTCGTCGTCCACAAGTTCTTCCATTTCAACCATGTTTATTAGGACAAGCACCTGGGTCGGTTGAGTGTCCTGGTCAACCGTACAGGCAACCCCGCCAAGGTCGCCAGGAATCTAAATAATAATTCTTATCCGCAGCAGCTGGGAGTATAATTTAAAAAACCTTTCCGAGGCTAGCACGCTGTACTACGATAGAATTGTCTCCAATAGGCATTCCATTCAGACCCTCAATGGCAATATCGGTGATCCTCGGGTCGGCATATTCGCAATAAGCGTAGCCCTTGGCACATAATTAATTATATTAAAAAATATTTAAAAATTTAAAGGTACGATAAGTAAACCTTTGATAGGTTGGTGTCCGGGTCCTTCACGAGATTAAAATATACCAACTCCCCGTACAAAGAGAGTAGCTCACGCACCTGAATAAGGATAATAAGTACGTGGAGGGAAATATATAAGCGCTGCAATTAATGAAGGGACCTCCCCCTCGGTGAAATGCCCCGGGAGTTCCCTGATAATAATTTTGTTATCCGAATTGCCAGCCAAGGAGCTAACGCCTATATATATATACTCAGTTAAATATAAGAATACGACACCGTCGAGCGGAGAGGAACCAGCCATAGAGTGGAGAGCTGCGTCCGTCCCGGGAATGGCCACATAGTCCTTTGGCCGTCTGATTTTAAGAACCTGTCCTTGCCACGTAATTCCATCTAGACCAGTGGCCCGGGTGGTTTCTTCTATTGAGGCAAACTTTTGGGGGGGGAAGATTAAGAGTCAAAAAAATGTGAAGATTAAAAAAAACCTCGACAAACGCAAAATTTTTGTCGTAGTTGATCTGCACGCCCAAAACGGAGGCTCCCGCGACATTTGAAAGGCCCTTCAGATCCATTTGCTGTTGAAAGAACTCTAGCATCGAGCGCTGTAAAAACAGCGGGGAATTATAATAAACAAGACGTAAAAAATATATATAAGAGACCTCCTCGCAACCAAAAGGAATATTACCGACGTAAAGTTTTTTTGCCTGCTTAGACATATGCGTCAATGTCTAAGGGGGCCCAATACTCACCAAATGTGCAATATATAAACGGCATAAATGCCTTACAATATCGGAGATACCGGGAATGCCCGGCCTCGCCAGACCAGGAAGCCTTTAGCACAATAATTTGTGTTAAGGAGGGCTTGAAATAAGTAGATGGGCAAAAAAAAAATAGAACTTACGCCCCCGCTAATACTCCTGGGAAAAGACTAGGTGAAATCAGACCAGGCACGGCGGGGAGCACGCCAGAAAGAGCAACTGCTCGAGAGGCGCCTTGAGGCATGGCTAACCCCATTAGCCCGCCAGCCCCCGGAGGAAACAGAGGAAAATGCGAGTGTGGTGGAAGCATCTTGGCCATCTCCGCAATCTCGTTGTTAAAAGGTACACCTATTCCTGAAAGCCCAAAGTATTAAATTCTTATGATAAAAAAAGTTGATAATGCATAAACCAGGGATCAAGGAAATCATAGATTTGGGATTAATTTGGCCTTGAACTGATAAAATAGAAAGTAATATTATTTTAAATTCCTCACTTAAAAAAACTTAAACTCAAGTAGAACTTGTAAGAAATACTTCAGGAAAAAAGAAGAGACCAATCACAAAATACCTATCATATTCTTGTATTCCATAGCGCTTATGTTTTCTGTATTTGCAGGCCTAACATCCCAATATTTAGATGGGCTACCATATAAGTTATTATTGAGTTAAAAAAAATACTAAAAAATATAAAAAAGAGTATTTACAATCTTCTGGCTCCAGGTTTAGGGCGACGAGGCCTGTGGGAGCTACGGCTTCGGCGTCTACTATGTCCGCGCCGACGGCTGCGACTGCGACTTCGCCTTGATCTTCTATCTTTATGTCTCTCTCTTCTATCTTTACTGTTTTGGTAGTTCTCACGCTCACGACTACTAGGTCGCTCTATTTCATGATCCCTGTGATCTTTAAAAAAAAACCAAAGTCAGCCTACTTTTAAAATTAAGCTTTAAATTTACTACTTAAAAAATGAGGTAATATCAACTTTATAATATGATTTCCTTACTTTTTTTACTTTTAACCCCGTGGTGTCTACTTTTATGCTTTTTTTCCCGGCTTCTGCTTCTACTATTTCTAACACTAGAACCGGCATGTGTTTTATTATCTTCCAAAGAAATTCCGTTTTCCACTGTTTTAGCTTCGGGTGTCTCTAACAAAGATTGTTCCTCTGTCATCTTGTTTGCAGTAAACCCATTGAATTAAGTAAAGATAAACCGGAAAACCTATCTTCGTTCAGTAAGCAAAGCAAACTTCAAGGTACCACCGCCAGGTAGACCAAAGTTCGATCCCAACTCAGCCTCCGGCGCATGTAAATTTACTCTTTAACACGCCCACCCACGCTTGAGTAAAATTTATCGATTTACTGATATTCTGTCTACATCAAATTTTTATTTAAATTATAATTTAATAGATAATTTTGGTTTATAATTTACTAAATAACTTTTTTTTTCCAGTTATATTTGTTATTAAATAGGGAAGACCAGGCGGCGCGGTATCACCCTTAGTTGTTTCTCTAGTACCAAAATTGGGGCATTTAGCAAAAACCTTAAGAACTCAGTAACACCAGTTATAATATGGATTTGAAAACAGTTAAGTTGCATACGTACTTGCGCTTGAAAAGCCACTAACTGCGTGCGAAGGCTTTTGTTATAAAGGCGTATGCAATGAGTAATTGATTGGCACTATCTATTATCCGTAGCCGATGACTGCTTCCTTGAAAGTTTGTGCTATGTTCGTAGCATAGTACCTAGTTCATTGGAATCGCCGCTGTAATATAGTACTTGTTCCTATAGAATATATAGTATAGGTACTGTATGATAGTGTCATTAGCTAGTATATAGATTAGAACGCCCCCGGCGAGCTTCATCGTTTTATAGAGGTTTTGGGTAAAGTTAAGCAGGTTGCATGGGTTTTCAGTAGTACTTCTGTTAATGCTTTTTGGGCTAAGCTTGCCAAAACTCCTATCGATTTTTGTTGGTTGTTATAATAGGTAAGCGAAGAAAAGGTAACACAGCAATTGGTCATAGCGTCAATACAAGTTTTTACAAAGTAGAGCTGTGATCTTCAGCAATTTATGAAAAATTTATTAAACAATTTTTATAGGCTAACCTTTTTATGGCATGTAGAGTTTTGATGGTCAGAGGAGAAGCTTAAAACGGTTTAAGAAATTAGCATGAGCGTAGATATAAGTTTCGAAAGTATAAGTTTTGAAATTACCTCGTACTATCTATTTATTTAGAGTATACTAACTTTGGCAAGATATAAAATGTATTAATTGGCGTATTGCCTATAACGTCTTTACGTTAGGGAAGGAAGCTGTAAAATTTTAGCAGCGTCTCAACCGCGATAAAACTTACGCGTCAAGCTTAGCAAGCCTGCTAAAGCTTCCAATAAATATATAGTATAATAAAACCCTTTATTTATCATCGTCATAAGTTAAAAATTTAGTTTGTTAGATATGCAGGATAAATTCAGGCCATATGAAGATATGCGACCAAACTGAATAGCGAGAGCCACGTTTGGAAAAACAAGTGTAATAAAAGAGCTACAAATTCTTTAGTTACGTTTGTGCACTTACCTAGAACCTGAATTTTCACTTACGCTGGGGCTCATGTCTCAGACAAATGGCTTGCGCCTGGTGGAAAGCCCCTCGCTTCTTGTTATATTCTTTATAATGAAACGCGTTTCACGTCCCTCCCTTTGTAATGTCGGTCGGCTCCGGTTTAACCTCCTTCGTCCATTACATTTGTTCTTAGTTTTTGGCTTATTCTTGGTTTCTTAAGTTTTAATTTTTTTATATACTTACTAGTCTGTCTTTATGCTCTTATTAATATTAAATATATTAAAGAGGTCTAGAGGCTCAAAAGATTAATACAGCATAATTTATTTTCCACTGAGGGGGGTGTTGGGGTAGAAATATATAATTGATTTTTATATATATGTTATATTACTTACTGTTTTCTTAATATTATTATATGCTGATATTTACTATTTTTAATACTATAAAAATTATTATTATTCTATTATATAATTATTGTAATTAGTATAAATGTTTAGTATTAAATTATTTCTTTTATTTTTTCATGTTTTGTAGCTTTAGCGCGCTTTATATCATCACACCCTTTCGGCTTTAAGGTGTAATATCTTTTATGAGATTATATAATTTAAACAGTGCTACCAGAAAGTATATTTATTGTTTACCACAGGCTTTTACAAAAAGATTCTTAATGCTTACTCTTTAACAAAGTATTTTAACTCACTAGGGTAAAATTTCATTAGGGTAACACTTAATGATAATAACTAATCTTTTTAAGAAGTTAAAAGTATATATACATTTGTTTTACGATTTTCTGTGTTGGATTGACAAATAGAACGCCCTTTCAACTAAGATTATATTTTAAACAAAACATTTTCCATATTTTCTTTGTAAACGAATAAATAAAGGTTAGGGATGGGTGCTCTCTTAATTTTCCCTGCTGAAATTTTGAGGTAAAATATTCGTCGTCTATAACTTTATGGCAGAAAGCTCTCGTTTAGATAACCAACTATTTTCACAGTCTAGCCCTTATGCCTTTAGCGTCGCATGTTTTTAATGAATTTAGGATACTCATTCATTAGGGGACAGTTTTGCTCAATAGGTTAATAAAGCAGCATGTGAGGACCTAACCATTTTTCGCCTAGCGGGTAGCGTTTCTGACAATTTTCTGTTCCTTCTTAGAATATTTATATAAAACTGGAGTAACTTTCATGTGTTATACCTATCATTATATTTGCATTAAGTTGGTTAATAAATTTTTATTAATAGAGTATCTTCCCGATTGAGCGCCATGATCTACAGCAACTTGTTCGCGCTATGTATGACAATATTATAGCCACATTGCCCTTTGCCTATTCGCCGACTACTGTTTTTTCTTTGGCAACAAGTAATAATCTTAAACTTGTTATCGCTTGTTGTAAGAAGCTGAAAAGAAGTTATCTACGTATTTTCCGAAAAAAAAAACCAAAAAATTTTCTTTCAATAGTAAAAGAAGCATGTTTCGAAGGTTTATTAGCAAAACTAGAACCTACTTATTTAATTTTTAGCCGTTTTATGTTAACCATTTCACTTAAATTAAAAACTGTTTGAAAAAATTAAGGTGTACTCTGGTGAATTTGGTGGCCACAGAAAGTTGTCTAGGAAAAACCGCTCGCTTTTTTCAATCATGGTATCTTCACTCGCGTTTACAAAATGTGTTTGCTATGAGGCCGCCCTCTCTAAATTTGTCACGCGTTACCAATAGTCAGTGTCAAGGCGTTAGTATTCATTTTTTCAAATGAGACTTTCTAAATCTTGGTTTCAAGTAAAAAGCTTTGAAAGTATAGTTTCAAAATATAAAACTTTGAAAACTGAAGTATGTTTACGCAATAATTTTTTATATTAACTGTTATTAACTTATACACTGTATAGACCGGTAAAAAAAGAAGACCCCTAGTACTGTTTCCGAATATCTTTATAAAATGCATTAGACCTGGGAAACCAGTGAATAAGAATGTCGCTAAAGTTACTACTTGTTATCTGAACATTTTTATCTAATTAAAGTTTACTCTACTACATTCATCTACTATATTGTTAAGGTCGAATTTATTTTTAAGTGTCTTAATTGGGCTGGAAAAGATGGTTTTTCTTCTACGTACATAAAATATATCAATTTTTATTACCATCGTTTTTTTGCCTGCTCTTCATCGCTATTATTAGCTCAAACTATAAGAAGTAGGTTAAGTTTACCCTTCATCGTATCGCAATAGTTATGATATCTTGTCTTAGCTGTTATTTACACTACTACCTATAACGCTTAGTGCTTTTACATGGTTGTTATTGCTATAATATTTATTTTTATTAAAAAAGTTTGTGGTCCCAAAGGAATTGAACAAACACGACATCCGCAATTATTTGGAATTAATTTATGATTTAACTGTTTTGAAAGTTCACACTGTTATTATGCCTGGAAGAACTTGGCGTAATAAAAGAACTGGGATCAAATACAGAACAGGTGAAGTTAAAAAGGCTTTTGTCTACTTAGACGAGGAGTTTACAGTAATTTTTTCTTCATTGCCTATCCCCTGTTTATACTTAATATTATAAATTTAATAGTTTCCCGAATTATATAAAACCAAGAGCAGTGAACAGGAAAATAAATATGAAAAGCAACTGAATTTCAGGGAGACCGGTACAGAAATGGGAGGCAAAGGACACTTAGACGAGTTAATATAGTTGGTTTGACCTTTGTCTTCAATAAAAGATTTTTGTTGTACGACACCATTTATTAGAACTTCCTTTACTTAAGTAACTTTACCATCAACCTTAATATTAAAAGTGCATAGCTCTCCTTTTGAATAAAACGGAACCGAAACACTAGCAACTCGATTCCTTAGTAAACTGGCCTATGGTAATAATAGTGCGTATTTGAACTTTTAGGTTTTTAACTTAAGAAATATTTGAATGAGCATAAAGCCAGTTACACATTATTCTTTTACTCGCAGATTGCTCATAAATTATTCCCTCTTTAAGCGCCCTAGAGCCATGTAAATAATAAACCATAAACTTTAACACTAGACTGTAGGGGTAAGTTCAACAATTTCTCTGTGCATACTGCGGCTCTCTGTTGTATTTTCGAAGGTAAAAAAGGTCTTGGCACTTTCGCACAACAGCAATAAAACTTACCTGCCTTTTTTTTAAAAAAGGTTTATGGCTTCACGAATGTTCTACAAGTCCTTCAGCGATCGATTTGGTGGGTCGAGCAGACTCAAAATAATTTTAGCGCTTCCTAAAAACTTTTGACAACAATTAAGCACCACAGTTCGTGATGTTTTTTCTTTGCAAGAATGCTTAAGTATATGGTAGCAATTTTCACTTGCATCACTGCGTTTAACACAAAAACTATATTATAAGTCGCACGTGGTATTTTCCTGGTCCCAACCCCTAATCATTACCAAAGCACATTTTGTAAGAAAAAAGTGCCTTTATATGTATTTGGAATAAAAAGAAACTGAAAAATAATGCAAATATAATTATTGTTACTAACAAACAGTTAATACTCAATCTTTAGCCTTCAGAATGAACAAAGGATCACTTTTATTTGGTTTAGTAAAGCTCCTTAAAAGATGAAAATAAAAACTTAATTTTATGGTAACTCAATATAAAACAGCATAAGTTTTTTAGTTTAAATAACACTAACAGAGCCTTGAACTTGTAATACAAGGCAAGCACTTTGCTACGAAGAACCTAACGGGTTTAAAGCATAGCTTTCCAAGTGGTTTACCTTGCATGCACAAGTAGCTCTAAAAAATTTTCAAAAAAACATATATGGCCAATTACAATTTAAAAAAGGGGCCATTTTTTCAGAAATCTAGAATGATTGGTTAAACTTACTTAAGTTAACTCTCTCCCTTCCAATAACTATACAGCCCTTTGTTGTAACCTACTACGTAAAATGAATTCCACAACAGCACAAGGAAACAAGCAAATAACTATGATTTGGACTTAATTAAAAATTAAGTATTTCCCAATACTTATTTAAAGTTGTAAACTGGCAAAAACAATTAACACACACGTTAAATGAGCGCTGTTGGGTGTCTTAAAAAATTAATTTAAGAAAAAAGAAAGTTTTCATCCGAAAACTCTACCCTAGACGCTCAAGATATCCTTCTAAATTAAAGGAAAAGTATGTTAAAAGACATTCATTGAAAATGAAGTAACAGCAGAAAAGGAGAAGCCTGGAAGACCGTCGTTTTATTTTAGGGGTATTTTTACATAATCTATTTTTTTTAAAGATCGAGGGTTGGAAACTTAGGTATATTTCTTAATTTTTTTTATTAGGTTCAAAGTAGCAGCGCATTGTTCTTTACTTGTTAGACATCACATATATATATATACTTTAAATCTTTCTGATTTATCAGATTGACGTGTGCTTTGTATAGTAGTATCTTAAAAGAAAACATGAGACTCTAAAAGCCACTTATTTAATAAATAATTATAAATAACTTTATACAAGTCGTTAATGACTGTAAATGTTTTGTATAATACTAATTTGTTTTTGCATTTCTACTTTGAAAAAGCCTTTTTACTTGTAAGACGCCATTTTGTAAATATATCCCTGCAGTAAGTTTTAAAAAAATTATAATCTTGAAATTGAATATAAAAATCCCTCAAAAAATTTACCATAAAGTGAATGATTCGTTTATATTTGTATTTTTATAAGGCTTACATAACATTAACTATAAAGTGAATTATACAAAACATGCTGAAAGTATATTAAAGAGGTTTTTGTATTGTTCTACGTACTAATGGTACTTTAGGGTGTTGTGCTCAACCGCAGAGCTTATCGATGAAAGTCTTATAGCTTAACCCTATTGCTATGTATGTTTTAGTTCAGACAATTATATAAAAAAATATTTACATTTCTTATTTTGATTTTAGATTTTAAAGTAGTCATCACAATACCCTTAACGGGTGCTACTCTAATATGTAAAATTATGTCATGTAAATAATTTTAAGGACAACTAACCACTATAATAAATAATATTCCTATATATATTTTTAATATATGCTAGATTATAGTTTATTCTAACCTTCTTTTGGATAACCGCAGTCATAACTATTCTTGAACATAAAATATAAAAAGGATTAGCATACCATTTATATACATTTTAAAAAGGCAAATTCTAGCAAATTTGTTTTTCAATACGTTTGGAAATTTTTTTTTATTCATTGCTACACCGAAACCTTAAGTTAAGCTTAATTTTTAAATTAAAGACGAGGATAACGAAAAGATTAAAGTACTTACAACTTTGTAATTGAGGTGGCAAAGTTTTATAAACGGACAGGTAAGTTTTTTTAAACCTAAAGGTTTTGTTTTTTGTATTTAATTTATAGAATTATAAGATAGTACTGGAAAGGCCTTTTATTAGACATACCAACAGTTTTTAGTATACTTATTAAAAAGTTAGCTATATGTTTTTAATATAAAAGTGAACGTGGCCGCCCACTGTTTTTTTAGTAAACTAATGCCGAACAGTTATGCGGTTTTGTTCTAAACGTAAGTTAGTTTAGTGCGATCTAAATATTACTTTTTAGCAAGGTGCCATTATATGCCTAAACTATTTTTATAAAAAGTACGACAAAAACATATGTACAGAAATTTAACTGAAAACTTCAAGTAAGATATCAAAACTTATGACTGATAGACGAATTATTCCTGCCAGGGGGTTCGCTAAATCGATGAACCAAGTAACACTTAAACAACTATAATACTTTGAACTGCTAATGGTTAAGCCGTTCTTCTACAACCTGCTATGGCTTTTATCTATTTTTTACAATGGCAAGTTTTATTGTGAAATAAGTATACTAACGGGCAGCAACTCAAGATGTACAGATATATCAAATTTTTGAGCAATAAGAATGAGTTCTAGCTGCTCTTAAAGTTTACCCTTTTCCATCCCTCAAGAAAGAGGGCTAGTTTGAACCTAATCGTACGAGAATGGTTTGGCTACGTTTTTCACGTTTAGTGGGCTCCGCTTATTTTAGAATTAGTATTAACTGGACCGAATATATGTGTCATGTGGCTAGGAGCGATTATTAGACTTTTGAAAAATATATCTTAAGAACATTCATATATAAAAGTCCACCACCCTCCCTTTTCCGCGACCTCGGTTTGTGCTCCTTTCCCGCTGTTTTTCCCCATGAATTACATCTTTTGCCTGCCTCTTTTTTCGCTCTTGCTCCTTCCTGTTCGGTCGAAAATTTATTTTCTGGAAACTTTTAACGGTACGCTTTTATCTCTTTTTCTTTATCCTCTCTGCTATATTGCATTAGTCCTTTACTTTGCTGATCTAAGTATATGAATAAGATTCCTGGAAGGACAGATGGGTACCTTCAGAGAAAAAGGGTCAAGACCAAGGAGATTTTATCCTTTCACCAGGAAAATGGTTCAGAGACGAAGAAGAAGATAAGGGTTAATGTTTTTAGATATATTTTTTGTATAAGTGAAATATTCCTTTTTATAGGCATTAAAACTTCACAAGATAATAAGTTTTACACGCTCTCCTCCAAGTTCCCAAGTTTTTCTAACGAGGGAAAATCGCTTGTTTTGCAGTTCCAAGTTAAGCATGAGCAGACTATTGATTGTGGCGGAGGCTACCTTAAGCTTCATCCCAGTAATATTGATCAAAAGTTGCTGGATGGGGAAACTCCTTACCATATCATGTTTGGGCCGGACATATGCGGTACTTTTTTTGTGCGTGTCTATTATCTTCTCTTTCTTTATATTTGTGTTAGGCTCATTGAGGAAGCTGCACATAATATTTAATTACAACGGCCGAAACTTGCAGAGAAAAAACGAAATTTCCTTTCCTAGTGACGAGTACTCTCACTTGTGTACTCTTTTGGTCCATAGCAACAACACCTATGAGGCGTTTGTTGACGGAGAGAGTGTTGCCAAGGGAGCCCTGGAAGATGACTTCGACCATCTTCCTCCCAAGTTTATTGATAAAGTTGGTGACACCAAACCCGCCGACTGGGACGACCAGGAGTTTATTCCGGACCCCACGCACGTCAAGCCTGAGGGCTACGACGAGGTGCCAGGTTTGCTTCTTACTTCCAACCCGCTCGCGCTTTCGTTACGGGTGACTTATTTTTCTAGAGTATATCGTGGACAAGTCACAAGCGAAACCCGAAGATTGGAATGTTGAGGAGGATGGAGAGTGGGAGCCCCCTATGATCGAAAATCCCGAATACAAAGGTGAATGGACCCAGAGGACTATGAAAAACCCGAACTACAAAGGAGTTTGGAAACCTGCTCAAGTTAGTAATCCTGATTACGTTCCGGATGAAGAGTTGTATAAGTACTCCGACATTGGAGCAGTTAGCATTGAGATTTGGCAGGTTAAGAGCGGAACTATATTCGACAACATCTTAGTGGGGGACGATATGGTGGAGGCTGAAAAGTACGCCGAATCCACATTCTACCCGCTGGCTGAAAAAGAGAAACAACTGAGAGACGAGCATTTCGAAGCATCCAAGCCTCCGGAGACCTTTAGAGATGAGCCGGAAGGCGAGGGGGACGACGAGGATGGAGATGAGGAGCCTGAGGGTGATTCCTCGAGTGAGAAGGATGAGTTGTAGTCTTATTATTATTTGGTTATGTGCATTGTAGTCTTTAGTAAAAGTTGAGTAGTGCGCCATATTCCTCCATCTTCGCTCAAAAGGTAGACAGGCAGTCACGTGGTTAACTAACCAGCAAATAACTCAGTATTTCATTAATTGGGTAGAAGAAGCTTGCTTCTGGTTTCCGTTAAATACCCATTTAGGTAGTATCAACCGCAGACGTGACGGAGTTTTGCCTTGTAACACTTTGTTAATCCTTTCACGGACAAAACTCTGGGGCTTAAAATGTATTTGTTTTATGTTCACTGGTAACTAAATTTACCACATTTTTATGTTTTCTTGGTTGCTGCCTAATCTGTTAGAACATGGTACTCTAACTTAACAGAGATGGTTTCAGAGTACGGAACCTGTCGTTTAGGGTCATTTACCATAGAGCTACTCTTGCAAATTGAATCTAGCGACAAGTGTTAATGGTAACCAGTAACCTATAAGGGGTGAGCTCGCTTATTCTCTTTCTATCCGGCCATTTTTGTAAACATTTTAAGTATATAGCAAGTAAGTCTACTCTTTAAGACTGCTTCGGTTACAAGTTTATAACACGTAGCGTTGATTGGATTTTTAAGGAAATTAAATAGAAAAAAGGCAAGCTTTGGTGCTGCGTGGTTGATCTCTTCTGATAGTAGAAGACTGCACTGTTAGCCAACATAGCATAGTCTTCTTTTTAAGTTAGCTACATAGAGTATGCATTACCAAAAATTGCTTATTAGTTACAAAACTCTCACCCTGGAAGCGATAGTTAAGGTCAAGAAAAAACTAGTAGAGTTTTAAGTTTTATTTTACCTAACACTTTTTTTTTAATAATTCAAAGGCGTACAAGTGGGCTCCCCTTTCCCCTACATCGTCCACCTTTGCAACGTATATTGGACATCTTTTGATGGTATCAGAAACGCGGCCTTTGTCTGTGGCTGTCTTTAGAAATTCTGGAATTTTAAAAGGAGTCAACGAGGTTATAAAGGAGGAAAATAGTAAGGTAGTAACAGATTAAAAAAAACAAGTTTACTTACTGCCGTCAATAGTAAAGTACTCAAGGTTACTTGCTCCAATACCCCCTGTTATATAGAAGCCTCCAGTTGGGAGCCATTTTAACATGGCATTACCCGTTTCACTGGCGTAAGCATTAAAAAAGACATCCATGGATTTTCGGCATAAAGAGCAAGTTTTGGCGTATTTAGCTATTATAGAACTCTTTTGGGCGCCACTTGCTTTCCACTCTTCGTAAACTTCCTGATTTATTTCCCCGGGAAACTTCACATTAGAGAGAAATTCATAAATTAAAGAAAGTCCGTTCCCTTTTCGATATTTTATTTAAATTATTGGTTAATAAAGTAGGCGGATACCAGAAATGATTCTTTCTGCCGAGATTCTATTTCGGTGATTATATTTCTTCCTAGCATAATTAAGTAACTCGCACTCTAATTCATTGTGGGGGCTCCAATCACAATGACCTCCTTCGCTAGGAAAGCAAGTATACTTCTTGTTGTCTGGGTCCTGTGTTAAAAAACATTCACCAAGTCCAGTTCCAGCGCCTATTACAGCAATAACTCCTCCTTCCTGTGGCAAAGCCTCGTTTACTTTAAGACACTCACTAGTGTTCAGGGTTAGTACACCGTAACCCATAGCTAAGAAATCGTTTATAAGTTGCACATACTCTATACCAAAGAAACTCTGTAGATCAGAGCCACTTATAAACCATCCACCCTTTAAATTAGTAAAGTCCACAGTATTATTTACAATAGGGCCGGCACAAGCCAAACAAGCAATTTTAGGAAGTATGTCTATTCCACTTTCCTTTAAGAACACACTCACAATTTCCTTAAACTCTCTGAAATCTTCGTTCTTGTACCTTTTTTTAAAAATAAGGGCCCCCGGTGCTCTCTCCCCTCTACTTGGGGAACTGGCGTTGGGGACGATAGAATACAACACAAGGCGGGTGTTAGTCCCGCCACAGTCACCGACAATAACTAGCTGTTCGCCCATAAACGAAGCACTGAACCAAAAAAAGAATTTATTTGTGCTAGTTAATACGTTACTAAATCTTTTCCCAAAAAGGGAATTTTTTATAGAAGTAAACCATATCGCCTGCCGACTACTATCGAACTTAATTAACTTCCAAATCTCTTCACTGGTAAGTAATAAAGTGTTTAAAGCGTTTGTATATCCTAGTTATTGCAAAAAACTGGATTTTTTTTCACCTGCTCAACGATTCAAAAGAAAGGCCAGCGTTGTTGTATCGATATTTTAATGAAATTGTACGAGATCATAGAAACAAAAAATGAATATTGAGTACTTTTAGGACGCTCTGGTCACTATCGCTTAAACGCTTTAATCTTGTTGAACAGTAAATTATCGCCTTGTTACCCATCGCTATTTGATAAAACCTTTTTTTTATAACGTGTGCATAAATAAAATAGATAAAATTTAATCGAATTCCTCGTTTCTTCTCTTATTTCGTTTAGGCTTTTAGTTTCATTAAACTCGCTCCCAGGTCATTACCAACCCGCAAACCTCCTTCCTACTTTCTTACCTTTCGCGAGGTCGCCTTAATACAGTTTGTCTCCCTTCTAAAAAGTATATGCACTGTAATAGAACTAAAAAAAGAAATAAAGAATAAAGTCGACTTTCTTTTAGGTTTCTACCGCTTTTATACATAAAAATTACAATCCTTTTGGGCAAATAAAATCTGTTCGGTAATATTCCCAGTTGCTTATTATTTTAGCTTCTAGTCGATTGGACTGTGTACCCTTCTGTTAAAAAGGTCCCCTCTATACCCTTTTTTATCAATCACCCTTCGGATTTTGTTTTTTAAAACCTGTTGCTTTAATTACTCACTTTTACTACTTTAGCTTCTAACGGGTTACCATTTGCGGTTTTAAAGTTTTTTTAACTTTATTATACCTTAGCTTTCCTCATAATTCAGGTTTTAAACATCATACAGTATAGGCTTACTTACAAAGAGTTAGGCAACTCATTGCAAAGCTCTTAACCGCAGAGCTACCACGACAACTCTGAATCCTGTAAAATAAATTTACATAATGAACCTGGTAGTGTAAATGACTTGTTAACTCCTTGTCGTCCTTTAAATGCTTCATGTTCTTGAGGACTTCTAGATCTGATCCTTAGACACCCATACATTTCAACTATATACTTCTTTCCTAGCTCAAAATTGAACTTTTACAAAGTTGCCTATACTGAGTGTGTGATTCCACTAGCCTAACGGGACTTATGTATCTCTTACAAAAAGCTATCTTTAATAATAGGAATATTCCGCCCTTCCGCTATTATCATATCTGTGGACTTCTGATTATTTAAGGGGGCGTTGCTCACCGAAGGGAAGAATCGCTTTACTAACCCTTCATCAATTCGACATCGCAAAAACAAAAGATTTCCTCAAGTCGGGAGAATTGCTCCTTGTAGAGCTCCTTTGCGTTTTCAGGTATGTAACTTGCTTTCGGGTAATAAACCGATTTTTACGCATAATAGCCTGTTAAAACCTTGTAAAGCATCGAAACTTCTCATATCCATTCAGGGTTTCATTTTTACCTTTTACTGGTTGGCAATTTATACTCCAGTGCTTCGACAACCTTGCCCAAAAAATTGTAACTCCTTCCTTATATAGTACCTTAAGTTGCTTCAGTTTTATAACACTATACCTCCCCGGCTGCTAGTTTCAACGATATACTCTTCGGTCAGCGTACTCACTATTAAACTGGTCGCTCTTCTGTCAAGTAGCAGCTAAAAAAAAGCTATTTCAATCTTCTAGGTTTACTTCCTATTATTTAGTTATTTATTTTTAATTATAACATGTATGACTTGAGAAGAAACCACAAGAAAATCTATTAGCTCAAGGACTACACAAAAAAATACAGCCTCCTTTTTATCGGAGTCTTTCTCTTTCCTTATTTAAAGAACAAACTCTTTCCGTTGTTATAACTCAACTGAAGGCCTCAATGTTAGAGCCTTTTAATGACTAGTCAGCTACTTATAACTCTTCTTATCTTCTCCTTTAACTAATTCTCTCCGATATTTATATATTCTTTACAATCTTAACTAAGCTGTTTTTATTTAATTCTATCTCAATGTTTGAACTTTGTTTAATTCTCAATCCTATGCATTGAAATATGGTTAATGAGATAAACCACTTATAGCCCGCGGATTGGAAATTATGGTAAATTTTATGCGCAACGTCACCATCGAAGGGAACAACTAACTTTTGGCTGTAAAATCTAAGCCAATAGAGTTTATCTAATATAGTTTACCTAAAACACACACATATACCAATCTCTTTTCAGTAAGAGCCAAAAAGACCTCTTTCCTTACGGGGTAGGCTAAAAGTCTGAAAGTCCTGGCTCATATGCTGACCAATGAGTTTAGCAAGGTTCGAACCTAGTACATGGGGCCAACCCTCTGAGAGTAGATTAACTAGGCCATATGGCGGATCCGGGTAAGAATTGTCTCCACCTACACTCAATCCCACAGGACAGCCATGCTACTCCTTTGGAGGAGTAACGCTGATCGTCACTTGCGCCATAGTATACAGATTAAGTAGCGAAAATTCCCTAAATTAGCTGTAAGTTAGGTTAGGGTTAAAGTTAAGAGTCAATACCACAATTGTTTTATTTGCGCTCTTTTTTATTACTATCTGCTTGCAATGGGAACCTCGGTCTATGGGCCAATTTGTTTGCTATCATATTAGAATTGTTGTTGGTCGAAGACTGATAAGTTAAAGCTTTATTTCAAAAGAATGCTTATTATAATACCGTATGAACATTAAACGACTACGAGATGTTACTCTTAAAAAAAACTTGATCTAATGACGCATTGAAAAGGGCACTTTCATTATATGAGGAGAGTCACACAATTTTTAATAATTAAGGCAAAATAATGACAAATGCGCTGTCTGGCCGGGTGGTTTAGTTATATTTTAAGCTTGGGGCTCTTGGTGGGGGTAGCTTTCAACACTGCTTTTCTCATGTATTTTCTTCTAAGGAGCAATTGCCAGCAATTTAACGAACGAGAAATTTTAAGTCAAAATATTTACGCAATACTATTATTTAAAACATCTCAAATTCTACGGGCTATATATGATAGGAGCGCTGGTTTTTTAAAGTTTCTTCGCATGACATGTCACTAAGGACGGAGAAGAATTCAAAGTGGTTTGCATACCAATAAATGGTATAATAATAAATATTTAAACGGACTAGATTTTACTCATTTAAGATTACTTATTAAATTAACTGCTGATGCACTATATTCATGTGCGAGGATGGAAACTTTAAACAGCATTTTGTAAATACAGTGTTTATTAAACTAGAGTCAATGTTATTAACATGTAGTTTGTGAATTACCTTCTTAACATTGAACAAATTCGGGGTAAAAAGATCAACTCACGCAGTTTAAATCAAATTATAAGTAATCTCCGAATCACGCTGAGACTTATTTCCTATTTTTATCGCGGTAGTTTCAAAGGTTGTAAACTAACACTTGTTCAACCTTCCCATAGAGACAGACATTTTCTGCGCATCATTAAATCGCTTTTGTATTTAACTCCGGACCAGTAGGGCTCTCCTTCGAAGTAGGTGCACTTTTATAATCACTACGTTTTGGTTTTGATTGTGAACACATGGATGAATAATATTCATATAGCACCGTCTTAAAAGGAACTTACTAAATATATAAAGAACTAGGAAGGGTTTTCAGAAAAGTTAATTAGAAAAAAACACCTAGTTAATTTTTTGTCGGTGTTCATTATCGTGTTAATCTTATAGTAAAATTAGGGGTTATGTGGGAGCTACACGCAAAATTAAACACTTTTTTAATAAAAAGTCCTCTTAAAAACATCGATTAAAAAGTTAGATAAAAAGTGCCCTCATCGTTAAATTTGTTTTACTATACTTATTAACAAAAAGCAGTCGCCTCATTATCCTAAAAAAAAAGTGAAGGGTAAAGCAACTTATCAATAAATAACTGTTTGTTACGGGGATACAATTATTCTTGAAGTTTTCACTTAAATACAATTTTGCTAAAAACGTATCTTTTACCGTAGACAATAAATATATAAATGTAAGAAACGGCTTGATATAGTCTCTCATATAAAGAACTTTTAATCTTTAAAGCATAAAACCTACCGGTAACTAACACAAGACTCTCATTTTGCTGCTATAAACATCTTCTATCAATTCGTTATTCCCTAAGAAGCTTTTTAAGTAAAGCTTTTTATAAATTTCAAATTTGGTTGGAAGGTGGCTCTCGAGAAACTGCAACATCTCTAAATGGAAACGATCCAGAGGTGACAGTCCTAGTAGATAAAAACTTTTTCAGTCAAAGTTTCACAAATCGACTATATAAAATTTTTATTGCAACAGAACCTATGCACTATAAAAAAATATTTGTTCAGGTAAAAGAGGGTGGTAACTTTGCATTCACCCGCTCCAGCTCTAATGAAATTGTCAAGGGTTATAAACATTTAATTAAAGTGGTTACTGACCAAAAATGTAAACCATTTGGCTTAGCACCAATAGTATACTGAGAACTGTTTGGTAAAATACGTGCCTTCTGTGGCCAACTTGTTAATTTTGTGACATACCACAACTCGCTTTATTCTTTATCCTGCAAAAGCTTTTTGTTTCATTGAGGCTATACTGAAGGTATGACCGTATGTGTGAAATGCCATGATGAGATAGAAGGACCCGAACTTGAAGGGCACCATCTTGCGTGTGCAGAATGCTATGTCTGTTATGGTGGCTTCAAGGACGGTGGATGCAAGAAGGACCATGAAGGTTGAAGACTTGAAAGCTATAAATTTAGCCCCTGAACGCATTATAAATTATTTTTCATCGATCTTTCAGGCCGACTTCTCCATGAAAATTGTATGCCCAAGTTGACTTGTGCATCTTGCGGAGGCGGCCTTATCGGGGAGATGTTATCTTTTGAAGGCAAGGATTATCATAAAAAGGTGATAGCTTAATTATTTTACTTGTATTAAGACCTGTTTTTAATGAGTTTTCTTTAGTGCTTATGTTGTTCAAATTGCCAAAATAGTTTGAGTGGTGTGCCTTTTGGTCGTAAGTTTTTTTCATATATTTTCCCTATTTCATAGTTGACATCAACTTTTAACCACCTTCTGGTTTGAAATAACCTTACTATATAATTCCGTTTAGGGACTTCCAATGGCGAGTTGTCTTGCCGGGATTGCTGTAATATTTTAAAATACTGTTATCAATATTTACTGCTCTTTATAGACTGACTGAGACTTTTATTTTTTAAGTTAAATTCTAATTGATAAAATATTCTTGTCAAGAAGTAGTAGTAATGTCTGTTATATAGTGGAAAAGACTTCAACTAAAAAAGAAGCTCATGAAGAGGAAACAAAAAGTAAACCGTATGGCCAATATACTCGCTGTGTGGTACTTTTTTTGTATTTATTAAGGCAACAACTATTATATAATATTTTTAAAACTTAGAAACCAGTAACAATGAAAAGCGGGGATTGTGGTATTTGTCAGAAAGTTTGTATTTTTTTGTTTATATTTTATAATTATTAATCAATAGGGGTATGTTCTAGATGCAATAAAAAGGTTTACGCTGCAGAAAGAATACACGGGCCGGAAAAAACAACCTGGCATAAGGCAAACTATCCAAACCAAGAAATTTTAATCCTCACTACAATTCTCTTTAGGGGTGTTTCAAGTGCAAGAACTGTTCCTGCGCGTTGGAAGCCGGAAAGGAAAGCACAAAAAATAAAGAAATTTACTGCACAAAGTGCTACACTGCTAATTTCGGCCCGAAAGGTTGAACACGTCGTTTATTATTTAGTGCCTGTGAGCTAAAAAAAAAAAGTTCAATCTTTATAACTGTTCATTATCGATATATTTACAAACACGTCTCTGCTTACATGTAGGCGTGTAAACTTTTCGTTAAACATAAACAAAAAAAAAGAAAGTGAAAGACTATCTTGCGTTTTTATAAGAATAGCCCGCCAATTTGTTACTGTTTAAAATTTTTTTATACGGCCAAACTGTCTTGTACGAAGAATTAAAACCATAAATCTTCACTATTACCGGAGATATACAACTTTATAAACTAAATTTTAAATTTCTTCAGGTTACGGATATGGAGTGGGGGCTGGTGCCCTAGTAAACACCGGGAAAACGGCAGAGAAGGGCTCCAGTTGAAGGTCAGCGCCCAATTCTCATATATTAGTTGTGGATAAAGGCAAGTACGTTAATTTAAAATTAGTGCGCCATATAGAAAAGCTTTTTACTTAATAAAAATTTCTTTACCATAAAATCCTTCCTGCATTTAAGTGTACACTAGAAAAAGGTTACCGGTGTTTTATAAATATTTAATCGGCTTCAACTCCTTCAAATGCTTAAAAGTCTCTACCACCGTTTCTCACTAACAAGAGCGACTTTAATAAAGAAAACAGAACAACTTTTATTTAAACGCTGCTGACGTAGTAATTTGCAACGGTTGCAGTTATAAAATTACACAGTGACCTCTATATCCACTCCAGTGTCAATCGAAATGGCTGTCTGTAAAAAATTTATATGTATAAAAAAAAAGTTTCCCCGGGTTGAATATGTATACTTACGATCTCTTTGACAACTTCTTTGGAGAAAGCGTGGAGATCGATTAAGCGTTTATGGATTCGCAGTTCATAACGATCCCAAGTTTTAGAGCCTTCGCCGTTGGGAGTCTTCCGAGTTGTTATGTTAAGTATCTTAGTGGGCATACGAACGGGCCCGCGAAATTTGACGCCCAATTTTTTAGCATTAAAGGTTAAATCCCTGCAAACTAACAATAAAAATTATAAAAGAGCAAAAAAAAATTTCCAAGTAAAAAGCTGCTTTTAGCTTGATTACAAAAGGTTATAAACTGATTAAAAAATATGAAAAATTATGTTAAAAACTAAAGAGAATTTAACGGTTGTAAAAGACAATCTAATCGAATTAAAAATTCTATTTCAGAGTAACTTACAAAATAAAATTAGTATACCTATAAATAAGGTTGATATGAAAAATGAGTCAGTAAAATAATAAAAATCTGTGTAAAACCTACAAAACATCATAGAAGAAACAGGGGCAGTATATGTATATATAGCTACCATTTTCCACACTCTTCAAATTTGCAGAAGTAAGAGAAATACGAATTCTAAGAGGGGTAGAGGGCGCAACTGACTTTTTTTCCATTGTAAAAAAAAACTTAAATGCCAAAGAAACTTTAATACAAACGAGAGAGCGGAAGGCCAAAAAAGCAGGTATCGGTTGAGGATGCAAGTATTAAGCTGTTATGCCCATGTGTTCCAAAGGCGTCCTTATGTTCCCCATCAGTTACTCTTTTGGCAAACGGGGCGTTAAGTGTGAGATCCCCTTGAATGTTATAAATATTTAGATTGCAAGTATATATTGTCGCCCATTTAATAGAAGGCTCATGTAGTAAATTGGGTGAATGCATGCTCCTAAACAGATTTAAGGTTCCCTGCTAAAGTTTAACACATTTTTGTTACAATTATAATTGTAAAACTTATATTCCTTTCACTATATTAAAAGATTTAAGTAACTACTTTTTTTTTACAAAATATGCGGTCAATTTTGTTCAAATTAGTATATATTGCTAGCACATAGCAGCCTATATCGTAGAGATGCCAGAACTAATTGTTTACTTTCTACATGGTTAAACTTTTGCAAGTAATATAATATTTAGGGCCGAATTTTTTAAAAAGAAAAAGTGCTTTGTTAATTGTATTAACCTTTTTTGTAAAAATCCTTGTGAGCTGCACACATCACCCAAATTTAGGTTTATAAATATTGTTGAATATGTAGCATTAGTTTACTTTTATAGTCCATCTATATTATATGTTGGCTTGGTTTCTAAAACATTATAATGTTATTTCCTATATGGTAACATTTGCAACTTATGTCTTTTTCACATGCAGAAAAAGTTTTACTGAGTTGTTAATTGTTTTTAGGAAAAAATTATTTAAGAGTAATTAATGTATAGATTTTGAACTATGATTTGCTTATAACAACAATTTAAATAATTAGCTAGACGATTACATCAGTATTAAGTTTTAGTTAACTTTGCATAAATTTTTATTAATATTTTGTGCTCACCCACATTCCACCTCTGTCTTTCGGGAAACTGTGGACCATAAGACCTCATCGCAAGTTTGAAGTATTCTCATTAACTTTTTTAGCAGTGCTATGCTAACCGTGTTGTTTTTAAAAAATACTCGTGGGCTCTATGGAGGCTCTTCCTATAGTCAAAAAGACGGACAAAAACTGCTTGGAGATTTCTCTAGATGCTAGATTAGGTGTTTTTTATATTATATGTACAACGGTCTTTCCGATAATCACTTTTATGCTTAAAGTTACTTGTCAAGGGCTTATTCTTTTACCTTTTAATATGAATAATAGAAAGCCTCTTTAGAACAGAACAAAAGATAAAGCAATTGTCCGTACCTCTAAGCGAGAACCACGTTAGCGTTTATGTTTACTTTTATTTGACTTAGGACTTGGCGTACTTGCCACATACTGTACTTAATCTTATATAAAATTAGATTGAGAGAGTTGCTCCTGATTATGTGCCCCAATCTTTGCATCAAAAACGTATTCTTATCAATATTTTTTAGTTTTTTATTAAAAACTATCGCAGTAACCTTATTTTTTATTTTTTATCCATCTTAGAAACATTTAAAGAATGCAAGTTAAATAAAGAGGTTACAAGGGGGAAATATTTAGTTATATATACCTTAACAAAATTTTATAGACCACCTTGATAGCTTTAGATTCCTCTTTCGTTGAAATTCAGGTATGCGTGTTACCTTTAGAAATAGTTATTGTTTCCTTTTCACTATTCATATTATACTTTTAAGGAAAGGGAACGACCTTTAGATCTTAACCCAGAAGAGCTGTAGCTGTATTTTGAGGATAAACAGAATGTACATATCACCTATTGCTCTTATTTTAGCTCTTTAGAATGCGCTGCTAAAGTTAACTTTTTTGACATCTCTAATAAAAAAACGGAAACCTCTGAGAATACGTTGGCTCTTCTTCCTTCAATAAGCAAGCAGGTTTTATATATTTTTAAAGGTTTATATTTTACATAAGTCAAAGTAGTTTCAAAGTGTATGAGTAAATAGTCATAACTTAGGACCTCTACAAAATGGAAGATCACCGCTTCCTAAAGAGAGTTGAAGCCCTTGAAGCTTCTACGTTATCTCTGCATAGAAGATGGCTAACACAGCTACTGTGCGTTGCTTGTAACACGTTGATCTCTATAATTGTTTATTTTTCATTAATTAGTTTGGGCTTCAACATCTTACTTTACGGCTACGGGAGCAAGCGGCAGATTTGTGCTCTGTTCGGGCGGCAGCTGAGCCACTACCACGTGATTCACTTTCATGGTTACCATCCGGACATCACCATCCAGAAGGTTCTTTATATTTCTTTCTGTGCTTCTTCTTAGTGCCTTCTCTACCATTTTACTTTTCAAAGATGATATCTTTTATAGTCAAAGAAATATTTAAAGCTGGTTGGACTTCTCAAAGTGTGAAAGAGCAGATTCACTTTATTGAGATGCAATTCTCACAGGAGAGTATGCTTAGACGTTCGTACCCCGTCTCTCTCTGCTTAATTTTTTTTTCAGAAGCCCAGGACTTATTTCTCTTCGTGCACAGTCTTGACGCCCTCCATCTTCGCTCGCCCCGCACGCAGGAACTCCTGAGCAAGCTTGCCAGTCTGCCTAAAGTCCATCTCCTTGCCACTGTCGACCACCTTCACGCTCTTCAACGTATAAACTTGTTCCACCTATAAAACTGCTGGTTAGCTTCCCACCGGCTGTGCAGCCACTGATCTTCTCATACGAAGTCAATACGACTTATTTTTTGGGCACTTCGCACTTTTACTTTTTCTGATCTTGGGCCTTGTTGCAGAGTAGTTTGATTGAACCACTTGTTTAAATTATTTTTGTAGTATGGAACTTATCTACTCGTTCGGATTTCAACTGGTGCTGGTACGAAACCACAACTTTTGCGCCTTACAAGGTTATTCTCGCCTTTTGTCTCTTTGCTTAAAGCAACCAATCTTTTATTTTAATTTTTTTTTATAGTGCGAAACTGAACTTTTAAGCAGTCAACCTCTTGAAGAGAAGAAGACCAACGTGCGGGCCACTGTCACTGTTCTTCGCTCTCTCAGTTCAAAGACACAAGAAATCTACAAGTCGCTTCTAGAGTATTATCTGACTAAGAAAAACGACGACGAGCTTGGTTATTTCTCGCTACCACGATTTTTGAATCAGCCAGATTTAATAATAAACCGTTTCAGGCTTAAATAAAAAGAAGTTATTAAAAATTTGTTTGGACAAATTTATTGTGCATGGCCCTGAAGCTTTTAATTTACAGTTAAATGAATTTTTAGATCACGGCATTGTGGCAACTAAAAAGGTGCGCTTTCTATATTTCCATTAACTTTTCAAATTAATTTTGAGTAATAAAGGCGAAAAATGGTCAGGACTTGGTCTCCATTCCTCTAGACAGCGCTCAGCTAATAGCTTTAACTCGTGAATTGGGTTGGGACCATATTATTTATTAAATTTCACGTCGAAAGATTTGAAATTCGGATTAAAGTTATTTTGCACTACACATTTTAATAAATTCCCCACTTTGCAGGAAACTGGTTGTAAGTGAACAAGGATCCTGTAGAAATTGCAGTCTAGTAATTGGCAATCCCAACTAAAGATTTAAGTTGCAATACAAGTTTAAACAGGTTACTCAAATATTTTATAGTGCACCGTTTGCCCTATTTATTTTAAATATAAAGGATATATCGTTTACAGTGTGGTTAAGTTTGAATTCCTATAAAAAGTTTTATAAACTTTGGTCGGTGAAATAACAGGTGTGCTTTATATAAACTCCTCTTCATCTCTAAATGAATAGTTTGTATTGAACTCCATTTTTATCACACGTAAAGTGCGTTGAACTTGTATGTGTGAAGCAGATAGCCTTTCATCAAAACAGACTATTGCGTTCTCGAGCGTTTCTCTTTTTTAATTAACTGTGTTTTTGTTATTAACATGAAAATTTGAGGGTTACTCTACAGCGTGGCCAGCGTTGTCGTGCCGGTCCAGAAAAAAATTTGACTCATTCGCACCGTTTGACTAAGTGGATGCAGCCGCCTTTAGATTTAAGCTGAATATGAGTTACGCGTAACAGACTCCAGCTTATTAAAAACATTCTACTTGGACTATACTAGTGCATTTTATTTGCATTATTTTGTGACACCAAACCACGTTTTCAGTAGTTTAAACAAACGGTCGTAAAAAACAAAACAGAGAAGATCCTATTAATTTTTTAATTGATGCTTTAAATGTCTTCCCTTTAAATTTTTTTTTTAAAAGATAAACGCCCTACTACAACTAATAAATTATATTATGACTTATTATTATTTACTTGAATTTTTAAAAAAATATATCTTCAAAAACAAATACCATGACAGCTTTGGATCAACCTACCTGCTCATATACTTTTACCTACTCCAAAGAAAAAAAAACATTTAAAATAAGGGTAATGGCCTTCATTTATAAAAAGTCTTCTCTACCGGATCGACTTCTAAAACCGTTTGTATTAAGTATATGTAGTTTAAGTTATAGCAGATAACGACTGTTGTATGTAAAACGATAGATCAAATTA